AAAAAAAAATAAAAATTAAAAAAAATATATAATATCAATAAATAAATTATAAAAAAAAAAATATTATAAAAATTTAAAATATAAAATAAAAGAACAAATAATCAAAAAAATAAAGAAATAAAAAATTATTATAAATATAAAAATCGAAAAGTTAATAAAAATAATAATAAAATAAAAAAATAATATTAATATATTATATATTTTTCATAATTATAAATCTTATCTATAACTATTAAGTATATATATATATATATATATATATATATATATATATATTTATTTTTATATATATATATATTTTTATAAATTACAAATATTATTTTATATATATTATATTTTTATTTTTTAAAAATAACATGATAATTTTCATATTATATTTATATTTGTATAAATAATTTTTTATTACTAAAAAAATGTTTTCGAAATAATTTTTTTATTATCAAATATTATAATATATATTTTTTATCAAAATTTAAGATATTTAATTTTATTATATAAAAAATTATTATATCATATATTAATATTTTTATTTATTATTTTTTTTTTTATTTATTTTTAATAAAATAAAATAATTTTATTTTTAATTCTTTTTTTTACATCTAATATTTAATTTTTTTTTATTATTTTCTATAAAATATCGACTCAAATAATAATTTTTAAATACATTCTTTTTTATTTTATAAATTAATTAATTTTTAATAATACAATTTAATATTATTTATAAAATATAAGAATTTCTTTTTTATAAAATAAATAGAAATATTAATTTATAAAAAATATAATTTTTAATTAATCTTAAAAATAATTATTTTTTTACATAAATTTATATAATATATTTAAAAATTAAAATTGTTAATAAATTATTTTATTTTTGTACAATTATTAGATAATTAATTTTTAAAAATTTATATATATTTATATTTTTTTTATTAAAAAAATCAACTAATAATAGAATATTTTTTATTATTTTCTTTATTACATACAATATTTTTACAATTTTTACAAATATAATTCGCTAAAAATTTAACCTAATCTTCTTTTATACCAATACAAAATGAATGAAACCATATTTTACATTCTTCGCATTGAATATACAATAAATCAGGATTTAAAGGTTTTTAACAAAGACATCCAGTTTTCCATTTTTCATAAGGAGGATCTAATTTTTTTTAGCAGTATAATATTTAGCCCTATTTTATTTTTGTTAATATAAAATAAGAATATTTTTTTTCATTTCTTTTATTTTATATATATAAATATATAAAAAAACATTTATAAATTTAAAAAAAATTATTGGTATTTATTTTATTCAATAAATTATAAATAATTAAATTTTTAAAATAAAAATATCATTATTAGAATTTATTTATTTTTTTAGAAAAATAATTAAATAAATAAATTTATATTAATATATTTTTATTTTTATATTTACAATTAATTTTTCATATTATAAATAAAAATAAACTCTTTAAAAATTATTGTATATATATAAATGTATTATAATTATAAATTAAAAATAAAATACCTAGTAAAGAAAGTATTTTATGAAATATTTTTAAGTTTATCATATTCTTCGAAAGAATAAATTTTACAAAGTCCATTAATACAATCAACATATGTATAATCATAATGATCAGTTTCGAAAATTTCATTTAAACTAATACAGTTTAGAATATTATTAAATTTCTTATGTAGTTCATCTTTTTTATAATACCATTTTATTTGAATTAAAGTAGTGTATTTTCCTTCATTTTCAATAGAAATTATTTTTTTTAGTTAAGCGACTAAATCATTATTTATATCATCAGCATTTTTTATAAGCACTAATTAACCGATTTCATATATCTTTTTTTTATATTTCAATTAAGTAAATTCCTTATATATTAAAGTATTATTTTTACATAAATCAACTAGTTTTGACAATTCATTTTTAATTATATGTTAGCTTACAAAGTAGTTAAAATAGTCTTTTTAAGAATTCTATTCATTCGAGTTCATATTACTTTACGATTATTTCATCATCAAAGGTTAGCTTGATAACGGAGAACTAAATTAAAGCTTTTTAGATGATGTTTCTTCTTCATCTTCATAATCCTCGATATTACTATTGTTTTAAATACAACTTTATTATATCTTTTAGTTTTTTTAGTTAGTCTTAGAAAAATGTTTTCTTTTCATTTTTTAATTATTTTAATAATTAATTTTAATTTTTTTTTATTAATAGTATATATTTCTTTCTTTAATTTTTTTTTAAATATTTACTTTTTTGTTTTTTCTATTGACTTAGATTAAATAAATTTATATATAATCCATTTATTTTTAAATTAACTTTTTTAATTTTTGTTACACTATACTACATAAGGAAATTAATATTTAAAAAAAATATAATAAAAATATAATATTTTTAAAATTAAAGTTATAAAAAAAAAATATATTAAATATTATTCAAATTTATTTATTTTGATTATAAAAATTAAATTGAAAATAAGGGAAAAATTATAAATATATTTTTTAGTTATTTTATATAATAAGTGCTAATTTAGATTAATTATAAATTCAATAAATTAATATAAAAAGTCAATATATTTCATATATTATATTATAAAAATTATCAAATATAATTATTATTTTAATCAAATTAATTTATTTATATATATATATATATATATATAAATATATATACACTTAACAAAAAATATTTATTTATTATTTATTTATAATTTATTAAATAAATAAGTGAAAAAAATAATTTAAATTATTAACAAAATCGTCAAGAAAATAATAAATATTATTTATATTTATTTTATAATTTTATGCTAATATATTAATTTAATATTAAAAATATCTAAAAATATAAAATTTATATGAAAAATTAATTATTTTTCGATTAAATAAAAATACAAATTAAAAAATTAAGATAAATATATAAGAAATAAATATTTTTATTTATTTTTTAACTTTTAAAATTAATATTATATATATAATTTATTTATTATTTATTTTATATATTAATTATATTATTTATTATAGAAATATATAATTTTTTTTATATTTATTTTTTTATTTTTATTTAATTCTAATTATTATATAACTGTTATAATCAAATAATAATAAAAAAATGTTTTTATAGGATACTGAATAAAGTATTTATAAAACTTAAAATTAAAATTTTATATTTTTTTTTGTATATATAAAGTTTTAGATAAAGTAAAAGATAACTTAAATTAAAAAGGATATAGCACTTTAAGAGGACTTTCTAAAACTTTTAGAGGATTAGATTCTTATGATGGAAACTAAAAAGTTGATAGAGATGAATTTTTTATCGGTTTAAAACAAAATAATATTAATTTAACAAAATAAGAATCATTTGTAATAAAATTTATATTTAATAATAAGCTTTTAGATAATTAATTAAAAAATATATATATATATATATATATAAATAGTTAATTCATTAATATTTTGATTAAAATTAAGAAGGAACAGTTGATGTTAACTAATTCTTATCTAAAATAAGAGTAAAAATATATATAAATTAATCAACATTTTATTACTTTAATCAATTTAATAAAGGGGTAAATGAATGATAATAGAAAATAATATGTACTTAAAGCTTTCTGTAAGTTTGATTCTGATAATACAGGTTACATATATAATGCTGATATTAGGTATGAAAAAAAAAAAAAAAAAAAAAAAAAAAAAAAAGAGGGTTGTATAATTGCAGTAATCATCCAAAAGTGGTAAAAGGTGAAATGACAGAAGAATAAGTTTTCGTTGAATTTCTATAAAACTTTAGAGAAAGCAACAAAAGAAATGGAAGAATCGAAAAATAAGTAATTTATTTTAAATAAAAAAAAAAAAATCTAAACAAATAGGAATGGATAGATTATTATGCAGCTGTTAGTTATTCTATTTAAAATGATGAACATTTTATTAAGCTGATTTCATAAGCATGGAACATTTGAAATGAGATTTAATATATATTATTCAAATAAAAAAAGAACTAATATATATATATATATTATATAAATAATAATAATGCTAAAATAAAAATTAAAAAAAATTATAATAATTATTTTTTATTTTTAACTCGAACATAAAATGTTTATTTATTTATTTTTAAACACATTATAAATTTATCAAATTCTAAAAAACTTCAATCCATTTCTTTAAGAATCTAAAATCATAAATATATAAATTTTAAAAAAAGACTAATATTTATAAATTATTTACTCTTTCTGCATATGCAAGATTTTCTTTTGTTTCAGGTGATTAATCAAACTATTTCAAAATATTAATGATACTGATTGTCTAGTTATTTTTTATATACTATTTAGCTTCTTTTTTATAAAAATTTCCAATATCCATAAGTAAGCTTATACAATTTTTAACATATTCCTTTAATTTTTTTTTTTTTTTTTTTAAATAAAAATATTTTCATACAACAGTAGGATGATATTATTATTCGCAAGTTTTGTAAATAAATTCAACTAACTTAGGAATGTGTTAAAGGAAATATCTATTAGGTTAAGCATCATTAATGCCATGCATAACACAAGTATAAGCATCAATAATCTTATCTTTTAGTTATTCTGAATAATCAATTATATCAAGATCTGTTGAATATTACATTTCTAAAGCACCAACAAATCCAAATTCGAAAATTCTCATCATTTTATCTAAATAGGGTAAACAGTTAAGTTTTGAAGCCAAAAAAATATCCCCTATACAGTTAAAGATTTACAATTTTACTTCCCTGTCAAAATTAGTTTATTCCAAGCCAAGCATTAAAGGTTCTAATATGTTTAATTTTTCTTTAAATCCGGCTTCACATGCCCTTGCAATATCCCCGATTGTTCCAAGAGTGGTTTTAAATAATTCCAAATCTTATTATTTATTAGATAATGAATGATTAATGAATGGCCAAAAATTATCCAAATATTAGCAAAAGTCTTCACCAGAAACTGTTGCTAAAGCACTTATTACATACATTCCATCTGTATCAACATCAGCATTTCTTTTGAAATGATTCACAATTAAATTATAAACATCTTTACTTTGATTTTTATTAAAATATTCATCTAATCCTAAAAGACAACTCTTTTTTAAAAAAAATATAAATATTAAATTAAATAATTAAATTAAATTTAAAAGAAAAATACATGCATAGCTGAAAGTATTCCAGATTGAATTTAAGATTTTCTACCATCATTAATTGAGTTAGAGTTATCAAATTAAGCGATAAAGAAATCAAGATATTTTTATGCAATCTAGGGTTATTTCGAAAAATGCACATAATTCATAACACCCATAAAAGACACATCAATTAAACTATAATCAGTTTATTAAAGATCACCACGAATTCCATTTTTAATAAGACTATCAATAATGATGTCCACATTTTTATGAATAACAGAATTATTGGGATATTATTCAAGATTTTCTCCCAAAAAACAGAAAAGCCAACTGATATTTTTGGAAATATTATGTGATTAAGTTAAGCTTTATAAAATTAATTAAAAATCTTAATTACTATTTTAATTTGTGAATAAGCATTCAGGGTGAAATTCAGCAATTTTACTTAATAATTTTGAGCAACTTTCTCTTACAAATTATGTAGAATCTTATAGCATTTTTACAAATTCAGAAATTCCATTTTAGATAAGTTAGCTTATTTATACTTTAGAAATACCTTCCATTAATGTTCCGAATGACTAAGCTGCTGCTTATCTATGTTACCATTCTTAATTGCTAATTGTATTCGAAATAAATATAGTAAATGTAGGAATAACAATATCTCCAACAGCCTCAACTATACTACATAGAGATTTTTAAGCACATTCTTATATTTCCGATTCAAAAGTGGATTGCTAAGTATCATTTTTAAGCAAATTTTACAAAAGAGCTCTTATTAAATTTTCTTATACTTACATAATATGATTAGGATTATCCTATTAAACATTATTAATTCTATTTTTATCTAAGTTTTATTTTCGCCTTTCCAAATATTCGCTTGCAATAGTTGTCCATATTTCAATTGCTGGGCAGGCTATTTCTGGATCTTCATGAGCAATAAAATTTTCAGTTGCATTATAAAGGTTTACAATATATTATCCAATGTACTTATGTAAGGTTTTCACATAGTCAGTTGTTCTTTATAAAGCCAATTTCAATGTTTCAACATCTAATGGATTAGTTATGCAAGAAATTAATTGTTACGTTGAAAATTCTAAAACCATCTTTTATTAAAATAGCTCCTCCATAAATTCTATTGCATCCCCTAAAGCTATTATACTATTTGTTTTTATATCTACATCTTATTCTTCAGGTGATAATCCTAATAATATTGCCGTTAATATTTATTCTTTTTATTATGGTTCTAATGAAAAACGGTGTTATTTTAATTTATCACATATTTATCCTAATGTCATAATTGCGGCTTTTTTTATTTGTATATCCACATTTGGTTATGTACTTGAGGATAAATCTGAAATTAAATTTTGCCATTATTTTTAAGGAATTTCTACCACACATATAGAAGATATTGCCTTTATTTTTATTTTTATATATTTTTTTTTTTAATATTTATATTTTACGTTTGCACATGATTTCTATATTAATTATATATTAGTCATCATATTTGATAACAAAGTTGATTTTATATTCTCACGTAGATTTTAATCTAAACATTCCCATGCGTATTACTTGCTATCAATCTTTTTATTATATTTATAAATTTTATATTTATTATATTTGATTTGTTAAAGTTTTACATTTTTCAAAATAGCTTAATTTAAAATAGTACATGCAAATTGACGAAAAATAGGTTCATTTTATTAATTTATAAATTCGGAGACTAATTAAGTAAAATAACTATTAGGATCTTATTAAAGATAAGTTGCTAATTAGCTTTCTGATTATTTTCTTAGTTCATTATCTGTTGATTTTAATAATATTTATAAGATATTTTAGATATTCATTTTATTTAATATTTTTTTTATTTTTTTCCCTTTTTAATTGATATGTTTTTTTTTATTTAATAAAAATTTATATCTTTTTTATATAATTTTATAAATGCTTTTATATATTTAGCAACACGAAAATATGCTAAAATTTAAAATTAATTTAAAAATTATAATGTAATATTTTATAGAATAAATAAATTAAAATTGACTATTAGTAATATAAATATATAAATATAATATAGAGAATATATATATTATATTATATATATATATTATATATATTTTTATATATTTATATATGCATTTAAAATTATAATTTATTAATTTTTATTATTTAGATTATTACTTTTTTTCACTTTTATATAAATATTATAAATGTATTTTTATATAATTGTTTTTTTTTTTCTATTTAAATATTTTTAATATTTTAATTTTATAAAAATAATTTATATTTTAATATACTAAAAATAAAAAAAATTATTTTATAAATTATTTTTTATTAAACATAATTAAAAAATTACATTTGTTAAATTATAATAAATTTTAATTATTTTGTTAATAAATAATTATTTAATATAAAAAATATATACTAAAATAATAATTTTTATACAAAAAAAATATATTTCATAATCTTTAGAAAACATATATAAAATCTTTTTCTTTACAATCTTAAACTATTTAATTTCTTTCATAACAAGCCTTCAATTCAAAATCTTTAAAATTAGCAATTTAAATTTAGTTAATCTTTTTACATCCATACACTAACAATCCTCCTTTGCAAACAATATTTTGAATACTATTCCAGAAACATTCTTTTAAACCTTTAACATTTTCACAAAAAATCAAATTAAAAGAATTAAATTTTTTAATATCAATATTGCTAATATTCTAGCTATAAAAGTTAATATTTTAAATTTAATTACCTAGATTTACCTTAACAAGTTTGCCTTAAATATTTTCTTCTAAAATACCTTTATTTTTTTTCAAGAAATCTGCAAATTAATAGAATCTTGTATTTAAATCAAATCCTATAACATTTTCGAATTTTTTTCCTATTTCAAATGCAAATTTCCCCACAGAACAATTTAAATGTCCCCCTTTATTAAATCCAGAATTATATTTTTAACATTACTAAACGCAAAACTATGCATAACTCTCCATTTTATTTGATTCTTTATATTATTCCACTATTTCATTCTAAACTGCTTCATCCCAAAAATAATTTTTTTTTTTTTACTAAAATTCATTTTATTTGATTTCTTCTACATATCTTATTCCCCCAAACATATGAAAATGCCTTCTAAAGAAATTTCTAGCACTGAAATTAGTATAAGTACCAATTGAAGCAAAACAACCTCCCAAAATAACATCATGAAGCCCATCAAAACATGGAGTTGAATAATCTTCATACATAGCATGTGCTTAGAACTAATTAAAAGGTGCGAAAGTGCTATTTGTATGCTAATAAACATTTCCATAAATATCATAAATTTCTTAATTTTATTAAAAAAAATCTACAGGTGAACTTGAGAAATATTTGAAATCAATATTTGCATTTTTAATGTATCTTTTTTATATTTTTTTACTTAAAAATACCCATTCAGGTTCTTCTAAAAGTCTTATTTATTTATTATTTTTTTCTTTTAAAAATTCGCAAAAAGCTCTTGCTTCTAAATTATTTACTTCCACAGGCCAATCCCAAGGCATATTTATTATTCTTTGAATAGTTCTCAATTTAAAACCGTTCTCAAGCTTTACCCAGAAAGTTGGATATTTTATTTTTTTACCTTAAACCCATTTCCATCCTTCATCAGTCCAATATTTGGATGTTTAATATCCATTATTTTCCACAAAATCTAAAAATTCAGCATTACTAACTAAAAATTTGGACACTTTAAATGATTTTAATGTAAATTTTTCTTATCCATATTCATTATCCCAGCTATAGCATTCTTCATATTCATTTTTTTATTTTCCAAGTATTATTTCTTTTTCATTTTCTTCTATTTTTATTTCAACTAGTTCATTTTATGGTACATCTTCTCTTTTTTCACGAAAAGAAGGACATTCAGGAAAATCCTCTAAATTAGGATTCATATCTTCTATTTTTACTCTTCTAAAAATTTCTGCAGAAAGTTCTAAATGTACTTTTTGATGTTCTAAACACATCAAAAATACCCAAAAAGGGTCTGTAGAATTTACAGGAAGGCTTAATGAGAAATTTCCTTTTAATATTTAATTTAATTCAGCTTTTACTTATGCACGATAAGCCTTTATCTCTTCAAACTTTGGCCATTCATAATTCTCTAAATTTGTATCATCCCATGACATTTCATCTACTCCAACAGCAAATACAGTTTCGAATTTTTAATTTATAAATTTGTTTATTATTTAGGCCAAATTAAGTTTATTTATATAAAATGTAGCTGAATGAGCATAATAAAATATTAATGGATGACGTAAAGGGTTAGCACTAATGTATAAAGAAGAAGTTTTGCATAATTCAAAAAATTTTTCCTCTAATTCAAATAGAGCATTCATTTAAGAAATATAAGTTTCTAGAAGATTTTCAGGAGTAGTATTTTAAAGAGAAATTGTTTGAAATTTTTAATAATACATTTTTTTTAATTTTTTTTTAAAACAAAAAAAATTTTATTAACAAATATTATGTATATATATATATATATATATATATATATATATATATATATATATATATATATATATATATTTGATATAATCGTCTTTATATTTTTTTAATTTAAGAAATCTATTAACAATTGTTTAATTTATTATTATTTTTTAAGAAAATTATGTAATTTTAGATAGGATATTTTTATTAATTTACTTTTTTCTATAATAGTTTTAATTTGTTATATAATGATTTTAAATTTAATTTAATTTTTAATCAGAAGAAATAACTGGTTTTTTTTTATTAGAACAAATATAACATTTCCTTTAAAAAAAAATACAATGAAAATTATTTTTATTTAAAAAAGATTTTATTTTTATAAAAAAAAAAAATTAATTTTTATTATAGGATATATTAATTTAAATTAAAATTATAAAAAAAATTGCGTATTATATAAGATTTTTTTTTTCTTCAAAAAATCATAGTTAAATGAGAATATATTTATAAATTATGAATACATTAAAAATTAATATAAAAAAAATTAAATGATATATGATATATCAATTAAATATAAAAAAAAAAAAAAATATTTAAAAATTATATGTTTTAATAATATATATATATTAATAATAACATTATATTATTTTTAATAAAAGATACATTATCAATTTTTTTTTTCTAAATTAAAAAAGTATATATTTATTTATAAATTATTATACAAAAAATTATTTTTTGTTTTTTATATTAAGATTTTATATGTTTATTAAATTATTTCCATAAATTTTAATAATTATTTTTATTATAAAATAAATCATTTTAGAAAAAAAATAATTCAAAAATATAATTTTGTTATTTATTCATTTTTTAATTTAAAATATTAAAATTTGTTCATTTTAATATAATAATATTACATGCTTATGGGAGTTTTAATTTTAAATAACTATTTTTTATAATAATAATCTTTTATGGATTCGTAATTATTATTTTAGCTTTCTTATAAAAAAAAAATACATAATAATTATTTTTAATTTAATGCGAATTTTTCATTTTTTTATAAAAAGATAATTTCTATTATATTTTTTTTAAAAAAATGATATTTTTTTTTTTATAAATACAATATTGAAATTAAAAAATTTTTTTTACAAAGAAATGTACTTATATTTTTTATTTAAATAAAAAAGTAAATATAAAATTAAAAAAAAATAAACATAAATTTCGTTTGACCAACAAAAAAAATATATATATAATAAAATAAAAAAGGCAAAAACAAGGCAAACCTTTCTTTGCAAAATAAAAAGTACAAAATTTAAAAAAACTAAAATATTAAAAAAAAAATAATACAAACAAACAAAATAAACTAATAAAATGTTTGGTCGTTCCTCAAGTAGAGGTTAATTATTAATGCCTTTATTAAGTCGTCAATAATCATACCAAGAAAATTAATTTCGCAAAAACATATCTAAATATGATCCGTTTGCTTCTCCCCCAGATTTCGATCTGGTCGAAATGCATTAAAAAGCCTGTTTAGTTGGCATTCCCTAATAATAAAAAGACGAAGATTATGAAAAGCCATAAATAAAGGACGAATATTGTCCATGTTGTAATAATTTAGTAAATAAAGAGCAACTTCCAATAAACTGCAGCGATTAAGAATTATCATTTTTAGGGGGTGCGTACCCTTTATATTTTCGATTAACAACGTATTTCATAGTAATATTATTTTTATTGTTTTTATTTGGAGGTTCAATTCGAGTTTTGATAAGTAATTTTAAATGCACTTAAGAATGCGTTAAATTTTTAGGAGTTATTGTAATTATGGATTTGAATAAAGAGCATGAATAATTTGGAGGTGAGTGGTATGATTTCCTAACTGCTATTATTATTATTACTTCTATTATACTTATTAAGCCAATTATTTTTGAAAATATTTCCAAATTTAATGAAGGATTCATTAATCCTGCAAATTATACATTAGCTTTAAAAAATTTGCCTCTAAATACTACCAAATAACATATTATAGACTTCTTTAAATAATACACGCAAGAAAAAATAGCGAAAATTAACATGGTTTATTCAGTAGAAGAATACGTAAAAGCATTCAATAATAAAGTAGCGTACATTCGATGTATAAATGAATTAAAAAGTTAATTAAAAAATAATTATTTAAAGGAAAAAGATCGCCCGAAATTATAAACAAAACTTAAAAATTATGAAAAAAAACTCAAAGATGAAGATTCCAAGCTCAACGAATTTTAATAAGAATGTGACTTAGAAGGAAACATGAAAAATTTTACAGGGACTGCATTTGTTTCTTTTAATTCTTAGCTTCCTATTAGACCTATTCTTAAAGAATGGGGACATAATTCCAGAAGAAGTATTATGCATTTTTTTTTTTCTTGGTATAAAAATCCATATTAAACATTTCTAGGAAGAACTTTAATTATTACACCTGTATTAGATATTTTTTTCTTTTTGTATATTTTTCTTTTTTTTAATAAAGGCCCCTGCTCCTACTGATATTTTATGGGAAAATCAACGGTTTTCATTTTTTAGAGTTTGGATTAATAACTCTCTTATTATAGTTGTTAGTTTTGCAATTCTTTTAGCAAGCTTTTATATATAATTTCTTGTTATGGCTTATGTATATCCTTTTAAAAAAGAGGCTAATTTAGATATATATAATAGAATAAGGGCCCTTTTAATGTCTTTAATTGTAGTTGTAGTGAATTCTATAATAAGATTAGTTGTTATATATTTTACTAGATTACAAAAACTAGATTCATAAGTAAAATATAATTCCGCATTTATAAACAGGTAAAAAAATAAAATAATAATATAAATTTTCTAAAAATAATAAAACAATATAAAAAAATAAAGATTTGTAACACTATTATTCTTTAATAGTGCATTCATGCCATATTTGGTACACGGAAGATGGGATGAATCAAATTCCAGTAGTTTATTGTTATAAGACATACATTTTATATTTCTTGCAAATGCCGTAACAGAGCCAATTACGAAAGTATTTAATGTTTTTTGGTTTTATAGATTATATAAGCAGCATAAAATAAAAAAATACAAAAAGTACGATCCTAGAAATTGCCCATTTACACAACATGAAGCCAATTAGTGGTTCGAAGGTCCAACATTTAGTTTAGCCAACTCTTATGCTTTCATTGGAAGAACGTTAGTATTAACAACATGGTATGCTTCTGTAGCTCCTTTAGGAATTATATTTTCTATATTTGGGTTAATTGTTAATTATTATGTAGATAGATATTTCTTATTAAAAATATCTTCTTGTCCGGAAACCTAAGATGAGGAAATATGTAAAACAATGATAAATTCTTTAGAATTTCTACCTGTTATTTATCTTTGTGGGGTAATAGAATTTTAAGCTCGATTGAAAGTGAGTGAAAATTTACTTTATTTTTTTACACAATTTTTCAATTATGGAATTACTTCGGCTGGAATATTCCTTTGTGCAACTGGCTATTTAGTTCTTTTTAAAAGAGAAATGCCCAAGCCTGCACTTTCAGAAGCTTCGTATGAAGAAGCTAAAATATTTTTTAGAACAGATTACGATTTAGTAAACCCAATAACTTAATAAAAGGCAAATTAAGAATGGATGCATTCTATAAATAAAAAAAGAGTCAATAATTTAGGAAATATTCCAAACACAAACATGATGCTGAGAAATACAACTAGGCAAACTTTGGGATTTGGAAGATCTACTTTTATATAACGAAATGAAAGTACTAAATCATTTGAAAAAAGGCAAATTATTGAACTTGAAAATATTAATTTATCTCCATAGTCTACACCTAAAAACAATTAAAAATGAAAAAAATAAAAAAAAATATTGTATATTTTATTATAAATGAAAAATATATAAAAATTTTCAATTTTAAAAACTTTTCAAAAACTCCTTTAATTTCTAAACCTCTTCATAAAATTTCTAAAAAAAATCTTCAAATTCATTCCAAGCAATTTTCTTATCACCTCCTTAACCTTCAATAGCTTAAATAATATTAAAAACACTCTAACTAACTAAATTACTAAACATTAATTAAGCCGAACCATTTTTTTACAAATTCTAACTTATATATTCTTAAAATTATTTTTTTATAAGCTCTTCGATTTCTAAAGAACTTATATATCCATTTTTATCTTTATCTAATAAAATAAACTATTTTCTTAGACTGTGCTTAAAAACAAAAGAATAACTTTAGCCCTCAGCATTTTTAGTATTACATAAATAAAGAAGCCATTCGTTTCTAGAAATTAGCCCATTTTTATCTTTATCAAGTAATTTCAATTCAAACTTTATTCGATCGTCATTTATTTCTGTATTTTCCATTACATATAATAAATATTTAAAATCCTATATTTATAACTAGTTATCATAATTAACATCCGTGGCATCGTATGCACTCCAGCCTTTAATTACATTTAAAAAAGAGTTTTTATATGCAAACCCATTCGGAGTTTCCAAATTATCAAAAGAAGAGGTTTCTTCAATTATTTTTAGTAACAAATCAACACTACTCTCATCTAAATTTTCTTTTTAATTTTATTTTATTAAACCTTTTAAATCCTTTAAAGGTGCATAAAGCTAATCATCTCCAGAAATTCTTTCAAATATTTTCTAATAAGTTAAAAAAATAAATTAAAATCTTCTTTGAGCATTCTCAAAAGTCTATACATATCCATATTTAAGAAAGAAATCTTACAAATAAAAACAATTTTTAAGCCAAATATAAAACTCTTCAAAAGAAATATTCTAACTACAATCAATATCTATTTCTTTGTAAATTTATTTTGAAAACTCTTTTATTTATTCATTTGAAGGGAATTAAATTTCGATAATCTTACATAAACCTCTTATTGCAGATTAATTGGTTAAAATTAACTCATTTAAATCTATACTTTCATTGTGGTCAAAATCAAATAACCTAAATATAAACTCAGTACGATTTTCAAAATTATCTCCACATAATATTACTAATAAAGATATGCTTTCATATATATCTACTTTTCCGTTAATATTTTTATTGTTTTCTAACTTTAGGAATATTTCTTCTGTATATTCATCTAATATTAAATTAAAAGAGTCAACAAATTATTCATAATTTAATGATTAGGTTGTCGGATAATACGTTTTTAAGATTTCTATTGAGTCATAAATTTCTTAAAGGCTTATTTTTTTTATAAAATTTATTATTTTGTTTCTTTATGGAAAATAATTTATTTAAAAAAAATTGCCCATTTTAGTTTAAAGTTTATTTTTTATTGGATTAAAGAAATAAAAAAATAAAAAATTATATGTAAATTTATATAGTGTATATAAATATAATTTAATTTATTTATTTCATTTTTCTATTATTATTTTATGTTTAAAATAGCATTTTTAATATAATTATTTTACTTCCAAACATCTTTTATTATTAATTCTAATTAAGCAATACCCTAATTCCAGTATTATTCGTCCAAAAACCTCACAAAAATAAATAATTTTTTACAAATTTCATTTTATTTTTCCTATTCTAATTCACTAAAAATTTATTTTCTTTTCCAAAAACATTCTAAAACCCACAAAAAGACTTCATTATTACATTTAAAAATATTAAAAATAAAATCAGACAAAGCTAATTATTCCAAAAATTCATTTTCTTATAACAAAAAACTTTTATTTTATGAATTTTTTAAAAAATTAACTAAAAGAGAATATTATTATTCTTTATTTATATTATTTTAAATTAAGCTTTATTTTCCTATTCTTAAAATGTTTTTCAAAAAAACGTCATTTTAACTCAAAAACCCGACATAAAATCCGAAATTATCTGAATTAATTTATATCTTGCCTTTTTTTTAGAGCAATACTATTTATTTTTCGCATTCCTTCTCTTCAAAAACACCTTTTTTTCTTAAATTTTCTAGTAAACCATATATACACTCATCCCTATTTTCATCCTAAATTATATTTTCGTAAATTCTAATAGTATTTTGTATTAAAAACCGTTTTTTTTCTTCTTAAAACTCATCAAAATTCAGCTTAAAAATGTACAAATAATCCTACACTTAATTTTTATCAAAAAAGGCGTCATCTTAGTCTATAAAAGTCTCTTCAAGGATTTCGAAAAAAGCTTTAAAAAATTAACTTTTAATCTCAGTATTATTTTCAAAACATAAAATTGCCAAAGTAATAGTTTTTAAACAACTAAAAAGTTCTAATCTTCTTTCTAAAATCATATCAATTTATTTAAGGAACTTTTTACTAATTAAAGTTTTCTAATAATCATTTAAAAATTGTTAATTTAAATAAAAAAATTACAAAAACTAACTTTAATTTTGCAAATAATTTACATTACTAAACTAAACAATATATATGTTTACTAATATTTTCATATTTTCTATATTTAATTTTTCTTTATTACTCACATGTAAAATTTCTGAAAATTAAATTGCATTTAAACTATTTTAGAATACTTAAAAATTCTTTAAAACAGCATAAAATACTTTTTCATTTTGTAAATTTAAAAATTAAAGAGTTTCCAAAAATTCAATTTAATCATCAAATCCCATATTATCTAAAAAACTAGAAGGAAGTTTATTAAAGTGGAAAGAAATTTATTAAATAATCTCTTTTTTTAATTATGAATAAATCATTATTTAACTTTCAGAATTTTATAAGTTTTTTTTATTAATTTATTTATATTTATTAAATCTATAAGTAAATCTTATTATTAGCTTTCTTTTAATAATTAAAATTAAGCTTTTACATTTTCAAGTTCTTTTTATGTTTTTTCATTTAAAACTTCCCAATCTATCTTCTAGTAATTCTTTGGGTCTTTTTCACCTGTTTTTAATAAGTTTTATAGCATTTTTAAATAATCTTTTTTTTTTATGACTGTATTATTGTTAATATACTCTAAAAAATCTATGTATAATACGATGAATCAGCTATTTTTTAGATAAAAATATTTTTTATACGTTATTTTAATTAATCTATATGGACTTTTTCTTCTTAATTCTGAATATTTTATTACGTGGTTTTATTTTAATTAGTTTTAATACTAAAAGAGCATTATAAAAAATAAAGTTTTTGAGTTTTTTTAACAATAAATAAGATATTTTTTATACATTATTTTTTTTAATTTAACACTTTTATTTTTACTATATAAAAAAATAGTATATATAAATCAAAAAAAAAAAAAAAAAAAAAAAATATATATATATATATATATATATATATATATATATATATATTTAATAGTTTAAAATATATATGTTCATATAATTTATTTCATTCTAAGATATCAATATTAGTATTTTCTTTATCTTTAATATTTAAGGTTTCTTTTATAAATTTTGGAATATTTAAGATATTCCCTTATATATCATAACTTCCAACTCCTGGATGATTATTTATATCGAATAGTTCTTTCTTTTTATCTTTTGGAAGTCCCAGTCCAATATTAATTAGAGGACCTTTTTATTCATAAAATGCAGGCCCAGGTGATCTTTCTTAATTCTATTTAATGTTAAAAACATCTAAATAATCTTCTCTTCTTTTACTTTTTTAAAATATAACTTTTTTTTGATTATCAGGCACAAATTTTTTATTATCATATTAAGAAGGCGAAGGTTTATCTAATTAATATAATAATGAAAGTGGAATTTATAAACTTTATTTAAAATCTTTTTAGCTTATATTTGCCGATTATTATATAATTTTAAGTTTTTTTTATTCTAATTTCGCCTTTGCAATAAATATTGGCCTTACTTTTTTTTTATTCAATTTTTTTTTTAACAGACTCCCGCGGATATCATATGAACCAGGACCAGGAACTTAGCTTTTTATTTCAGGCCGCTTCGAAGTTCCGATTTTTGGTACAAACTTTGCTTATTCATGATATATTCTATACTATCCAGGAGGAGGTATCCTTATTTTTATAAACAAATGAATTAATTTATATTTTTTTTAAAAAAACAAAAAATATATTACAAATCTTTATTTTTGAGTTCTTTTAATTTTTATTTAAATGTAAAGCAACTTGCAGTCTTATATTTAATAAATTCAAAAGAACTTTTCGAATAATATCCAGGTCCTGGTGTAGTTTAAGAAGTATTATATTTATTTTCATCAAACCTTTTCATAGTACTCATAGTAGTTAGTACTTTTGATTAATATTTTTAAAAAGCTTTAATAGTTTCATATTAAGCAGGTCCTGGTGATATTTCATTAAGTTTAAATTATGCACCTTTTGAACTTTTAATATATATTTTTTATTTAAAAAAATAAAAATATACCTTTTAGAAAACGCATGAGTGTCTGTATGTAATGTATTATTTGTTATTTCATAAGTACCAACAGAAGGAAAATCCTATTTTTTTCTAAAATTTATATCCGTTCTTGATGAATATTTATTAAAAGGAACGCCTTTAATTCTTATCTTTTATTTAATAAGATTTTCTTTAAAATCATTTTTTATTGAATTTTATTCATCTATTTAATAATACCCAGGCCCTAAGTTATTCCAACAATTTATTTCAAATATATTCCTTGCAGAATTGGAAAATTGTTAATGATAATTATTTAATTTTTCCTTTTAAAATAACTAAATATATGATCCTGGACCTGGAACTTCTGTTTCTGAGGTTTTGAATCTTTATGAATGCTAAAATTTTCCATTTTTTGGCTTTATTTATAGTTATTTGTAGCTTTATTCTATTTAATATTAGCCTACACTCGGATATTATGTTATTATACCATCCATACATGAATCTCCTTTTATACCCTTTAATCCAAATGAAAAACCAGGAATAAAATGTCTTTTATCTAATATTAATTTTTTATCCATTTATGTTTTTATTTTAAAGAAGTAGAGAAAAATAAATATTTATTTTATTAAAATAAAAAAAAAAAAATAACAATAAAAAAAAAAAAAATTATTTGTTATTTTATTTACTTTCTTTTGTTTTTTTGTTTTTATTGATATATAAAAAATAATAATAAATAAATAATTATATATATTATTTTATTTTCAAAAATCTTATTCTTGTATTTCAACTTTAATTTTATCAATAACTTTTTCAATTAATTTAACAAGCATTTCTTCACTTTTCTCTCTATTTTAAAATAGAAAAAAGGTATATACACATAAACAAACAAAAAAGAAAGATAATAAATAATATACCTATCATAAGCGCATTTACTGATTGCTTAATTAATTTTGGTATAAATAACTTTTAAAATATTAATAAGCTCTTCTTCTCTAATTTCTCTTTCTTTTCTTTCGATTTCAAACATTTCTTTCAATTCTTATATTTATTCAGAAAACTATTAATAAATAACTTATTCGATTTCTTCTCTATGTGCACTTTCTTATCTTATTTCTTCTTAAAATCTTGGAAGCTCTTCTTCTATTTAACTTTATAAATAATTTTAAGATGCTGTTTTAGCTTCATATTCTCTATGAATTTCTACAGTTAAAATATCAATTTAACTTGTAAGTTTTTAGAAAATTCTTCTTTCACTTTCTTCCCGTTCTTTAGAAAAATTATCTAATAAACAAACACAATTTTTTTGAGTTTATTCAATATTTTCTTATACTTCATTATCAATTTTATCTTAAATGCTTTTTTATTTTTGTAATTCGTCAAATAAATATTTTATCTTTTTAATTAATTTTTTCTTAAATTTTAATTTTTTTTAATTTTACTTTATTATTTAAAGCATCAAATTTATCCATTTTTTAATTATAAAGTTCTTCCACTTTTTATTCTAATGTATTTATTATTTAAATAGCGAATTTCCATTTTGTTTATCTTTCATTATCTACTGTACTCTATGTTTTAATTAAATAAAACTTTATATATATTTATTATTTTTTAAAAAACTTGTATATTTTGAATACGATCAAATACTTTTGCAACTCTTTCTTGATTAATGTCTTATTTTTATTTGAAAAAAATAATTTATACAGTTTTAATTGAAGGATAATAAAAGTTATTAAATATATATATATTTTTGTTTATACTATTCATTTATTATTTCCAATATTAGTTTTATTTTTTTATTTTTTTCTAAAAATATAATATTTAATTAAAAATATATTTAAATTCAAATATATAAAAAAAAAAAAATTTAAAAATAAATTATATTTAATATTAATTATAAAACCAAAATTAAAAAATATAAATATAAAAATAGTATAAATAATAGTTACGTTTTTTACTAAATTATTATTCAAGTAACGCAATTTTAACTTTAATCGAATTCTAATATAGTTATCTAATTATTATATATTTATAAACTTATTTTCATTAAATTAACTATTTCTAATTTAAATTTCTTTTTCTTTGTTATTAAATATAAACTTTAATTTCAGCTAATATTTTATACAATTATTATAACTTATTTAAGGAATGTTTTTTTTTTTTTTTAAATAAGAACCTTCTTTTTTTTATTACTTTAAAATTTTAAATACAGTTTCGTTAGTGAGTTTTTATTCTCAATTTTGTTTTTTTAAAAAACACATCTCTGTTTCTGAATATAATTTATTTAATTTATTCTTTTATTAAATAAGTTTTATTTTCAATATATATATTGTTCATATAGTTTTTTTTATTTATTCTATAATTTTTTTAAACAAAAATTGCATAAAAGCTCTTTTATTTTGGATTGAATCGTTAGTAAAAAATTTAAAATAAAAAAAAACATCAATATAAACAACCAAGTCGTATTTAATTTTTATAATTATTTCTGTTAAAAAAATTAACTTTCATTTAATAATTTTATAAATCTTAAATTATTTTTTTGGAAATTATGTAAATGTTTCCATTTTTGCAACAATTTTTTTAATTATAAATAATTTTATTTTTTTACTATAGATATATTAATTGCCCACTCAAATATTATATAAAATCATCATATAACATTAAATTTTATTATTTTATAATAGATTTATGAAAATCAGCAAAACATCTAGAGTAGAATAAGTTATTATTATCCGTTGTTCAAATAGTATCGAAGCTAGAATTATCGGAATCAAGATTCCATATTTTATTTTTTTTGATAAAAATATTAATTTGTAAATATAAAATTTTTATAATTTTTTTTTAATTATTTTTTTTGATAAACTTTTAATTTTTTAATTTTTTTCATAAATTAATATGATAATTATAAATATAAATACAATAATTATGTTTTTAAGGTTTAATATAACGAAATATTTAATTATAAAAAAGTAAATGTATATGAAATTTTATTAAAATTTTTAGATACTTATATAAAAATATAGAAAAAAAATATTTATAAATATAAATTATTCGATTGTATTTATATATCAATAAAATTATTTAAAAATATTTAAATTATTAATTATATTATTCTTTTTTATTTAGCTTCTATTATTTCATAATTTTATTATAGGAAAATTTAATATAAAACTAAAAATAATTTTATAAATTAAATATTTAAATTTTTCTCATATAATTTCTAATTAAATATAAATATATTGATTATTAATTTATATAAATGAAAGTATTTTTAAAATTATTATTAATAAATATATATAGTATTAATAGTTATAATTTATTTTTATAATTAATTATTAACTAAAATTAAATGCATATTTATTCGCTTTATGCATAATATAATTATTTATATTTTTCTATTTAATAAATATTTTTATTATGATTATAATATTTATGTAATAAAAAATTTAACAATCAATACTTTTTTAAGTTAATTCTTTAATTTTTATAACATTACTTTTTTATATAAACTCGTTCCAATAATTTTTAATTAATACATTTATGATAATTTATATATATTTAAAAATAATTTATATTAAAGTTAGACATCAGTTTAAAATAAAATTTAAATTTTTTGTTTATTGAAATTATAAATTTATTTAATATTTTGATTGAAAAATAAAAATGTTAACAAGTTAAGGATTTACGAATGACTAATTTCATTATTAATATGCCCCATTAAAACCTTAATAATTAACTAAACTTCCTAGCCTTTATTAAAAGCAAGATCCATTATATACCAAATCTCGAGAAGAGCTTTTAAAAGAAGGTAATGTAAGTTAAAATGAGAAATTACTAAAGCATATAAATACAAAAATAGTTGCAAATATAACCAAAGAAAATTTAAACTTTGATTTATTAAAAGACATGGTAAATGCTGGTTGCAACTCTTTTATGGTAAATTTTGCATATAATAGTGTAAAAACAGCAAAAGAACTAGTTGAAATTCGAAATTTTTTAGAGGATTAGTTAAAAATTAAAATTCCTATTACTGGAGTTTTGCAAGGAAAAGTCATTAGAATAGGTTAATTAAAAAATGCAGAGATACAATTGAAAAAAAATAAGAATATAGAATTATTCTTAATGGAAAAGTCCTTGGAAGCAATCTTTATTGTGGCGTGAATGATAAAAAACTTATTCAAAAAGTTAAAATTGGAGATAAATTGCTCGGCGATTATGGACATGCACAATTTACAGTAAAAAAATTTGAAAAAACAAACGAAAGTTTGAAGATTTTAAAATAAAACTTCAATTATGAATTTGACGAAATTTTAGAAGTAAAAAAATATGAAAAATCTACTTAAAATTCTTCATGTATTTTTATTTAAAGCAGTGATGATATTCTTAAATAAAGCATAAAAAAAGATAACTTAATTTTAAAAAATTTTAGAAATTTTGAAAAAGAAGAAGAAAATCAAAATGAATTTGCTTAAAAACTAAAGTAACAAAAAAGCCTTTTTAATAAAAATTATGATGTAATAGTTACTTAGGTAGATTTTAATTGTCAAATTAAATCACATTAACCCATATTTATAAACAAATTTACTCAATAGGAAAATTATGATGATTTATTAGAATATCAAGAAGATATTTTAACCCCAAAAGATATAAACGACTTAAATTGGTGCTAAAACAACGATATAGATAGCATATGTATACCCAATTTAAGAAATAAAGATGATATAATAAATGTCCGAAATATTTTAGGAAATAAAAAAAAAAATTAAATTTTTTCTAAAATCTAAAATTCCGAATCATTATTAAATTTTGAAGAAATAGCTAAAAACTCAGACGGAATAATTATTGCTAGGGGTTATTTAACTTTATATGTAGCTGCGGAAAACCTCTTTACTTTATAAGCTTAAATGATAAAATATTGTCATGAATATTTAAAACCAGTATTTGTTTAATAAAACGTATTGGATAGTATGGTATCTTCACTATTACCTAGTTTTTGCGAAATAACTGAAATATCTAACCTTGTATATAATTTTGTGGATAATATTATGCTTTCAGAAGAAACATCATGCGGAGATCACCCTTTGGAAGCTGTAAAAACACTAAAAAGAATTTGTTTAGAGGCTGAGTAGTAAAAAGAAAATGAACTTTTTAATAATTTTTAATAATTAACTTCTACTAATATTACTGTCTAAAGTTGCATTTTAGAATGTGCTAAAAAAGCTGCAGGCGAGTTACAAGCCAAGGCAATTATAGTATTTACTAGTAGAGGTTATTCTGCATTAAAATTGTCTAAAATAAGGCCTTTTAATAAGCTTTTTGCAATAACAAGTTGCTTTAAAACGGCTAGGTTTCTTAGTAATGTGCGTGGAATTTAAGATTGTTTTGTTTTTGAAAGTTTAGAAGGGACAGAAGTTTTACTGAATTAGGTTATAGAATAATTAAAAGTAAAAAATGTTCTTAGTTTGGGTTAGTTTATAGTTGCAGTTTTTGGAGATGTCGAGAATTAAGCTAATTAAACAAATAATTTGAGAATTTTATAAGTTTAATGAAAATATGTGTTTATTAGTAATAATTTAATAAAATAAGATAAATATAATATATAAATAATATTTATTTATTTAAATACTTAATTTAATATTTTATGTTTAAATATAAGTTTTTTTATTTTTAAATTTTACTTTTAATTAATTTAAAGCAACAAATTAGAAGAATTATATTAAATTTTAGTTATAAGCAATAAAGGAATAAAATATAAATGTTGTAATATTAATTTAATGATACACATTCTTCATAATATTTTATAAATTTTTTTAAAAAAAATCAAGACAAAACATGAAAGTTATCTATATAATTGACTTAGTTAAATAATAATTAAATCAAATAAAAAAATATAAAAATAAAATATATGTAATTAAATATGAATTTTAATAAATTATTAATAAATATTAAATAAATAAAGTACAATTCATAAAAAATATAAAAGTAAAAAATGTATTATTAAAAGTATTAAAAAAAACATATTTAATATATATTATTATTAATATTATTATTATTATTATTATTATTATTATTATTATTATATTATTTTTTTTTTATTTTTTTTTTTATTTTTTTTTCATTTTTTTTTCCTTTTTCTTTTCTTTTCATTTAATTTTTTTTTTTATATAATTTATAATTTTTTATTTTTTTTATTTATATTTAATTTATTCTTTAATTATTTTTAATATTATATAATTTTTATTTATCATCATCATAGAATAATTTATTTTTAATTTTTAGAATTTATATGTCAATATTTAAATAATTAATCATTAAGTTTTTATAATATCTGCAATTCTTTTATTAACATTTTATAAATATTAAATTTGCTACTATAAATTTTAATTTTTTTTTATTATTTATCAAATAATATAAAATCATAATTAGTATAATTATTAATAGTTTTTTTTAAATATTATAAATAATTATGCTGCATATAGTACTTTTAATTAATTATATATATATTTTCTATATACTTTGATCTAATTCAAAATAAAATACTAATTTATAATCATAGATAAATAATTAAATTATCAATATATAATAATATTTTTATTTATTAAAATTTTTTTTTTTTGTTTTTAATAATTATTATGATTTAAGAAAATATTTAATTAATTTATTAGTTTTTTGTTATTTTTTAAAAATAAAAAAATATAATTTATTATAAATTTTTTGTTAGTTTTATGAAAATTTAATTATACTAATTCTTAAATTTAAAAATGTAAATATAGTATTATTATATTGGCAATGATTTGATTTATTTAATAAATTTTTTATACATAAATTTAATAAAATATATAATTTAAATTATTTATAAAATAAAAACATACTTTTTAACATCTTATAATATGTGTATAATTTAAAAAAGAATATTAATATTACTTTTCTATATTATTTATTAGAATTTTTATTGTTAATTTTTTTCTGGTCAAATAATTATTCTTATCATATTTCATTTTTTTATTTACAAATTTAATTTACTTTTTTTTTTTATTTTATTTTAAATTATTTATTAAATATTGGTTCAATTTATTTTATTTAAAGTTATTTTAAATTTAAAAAAATAATTACTTTTTAAAAATACAATAAAATATTATTTTAAAAAAATGAAACATAATACTCACTACTCATAATTATTATAAAAATAATAATATGAAGATTAATTTGTATATATATAAAAATATAAAAATGCAATAGTATATTGTTAAAAAAAAACATCAGCTATAAAAAAGAGACATTTTAGAAAACGAATAATATATAAAAGAATTAGAAGCCACAATAAATGATATGAAAAGTAAGAAACATAAAAAAAAACTCTAAAATTTAATAAAATAGTATTCATAGAAGAATACAAAAAAATGAATAACAACTAACAATTATTAATCTAATAAAAAGAGATTGAAAATGAAAACTTATTATAGACATTAAAGTAATATATAATTATAAATGAGAAATATAAATTAAAAAAAGAGGGTTAGAAAATAAATTAAATTTATTTGAAATACAAGATTAAAGAAGAGATTAAGTAAAAGAGCAAGAAATAGAAAGTCAGAAAAAAGTCCAATAAGAAATAATAAATAATTTTAATTAAAAGTTAAGCTTTTTCGAAGAATAAATTCATCTTCAGCAAGTTTAATTGGAATAAAAAAATACACAAATTTAATAAATGTAATAAGAAATCGCGAATTCTGATTTTCTTAAGTAACTTTTGGAATAAAAATAAGTACTTATTGAATCATTAAGAAAAGAAAATAAGATTTTAAGCTAAAAATAAGAGATATAAAATACATCAAGCATTTTAAAAGAAAAAGAATTTGCAAATAAAATTATTAATAGAGTAGAACAAAATATATAAAAAGACGATTATTCGAATATTTTTAAATAAAATGAAAGTCTTTCTTAATAGAAAGAGTTTGTTTAAAATAATAATTATTAAAAAATTAACTCAAATTATTATTACTAATAGTAATACGATAATGATAATATAGAATTAAAATAATTATAATATGAAAATTCTCATTAGTAAAAAGAAAAATAGAATTAACTAAAAAATTATTTTTAAAATACTTAAGAAAAAATGGAAGAATTTAATAGATTATTATAGAAAACATAAGAAATTGACAAAATATTGTAATTAAAATACTAAAAAGATAATAATTTTAAATTTAATTCTGAAAATTAAGAAATTAATTAAGAAAAAAATACGATTTTAAATAAGAAATAAGAAAAGATATTAATTGTGAAATTTAAACCAAAAATTATATATAAAATTAAGAATTCTAACATAATGATTTTATTAAAGAAATGTAAAACTAAAATGAAATTATTAAATAAAAATATAAAAATGTTCATTTTTGATAGAAATATATTTTGCTTAAAAAAAAATAAGAAATACCTTTATTTTTTTATTTTTTAAAATATAAAATACAAATTTTATTTTTCTATATTCTTTATAGAAAAAAATAAGCATATATTTTTTAAATTAAAAAAAATAAATATATATATATATATATATATATATATATATATTATAATTATTTTTTTTCGTTCAAAAAAAAAAAAAAAAAATGCCTCATTTTCCTGAAGAAATCGAATACAGTGATAAATATTAAGATGAATATTATGAATATAGGCACGTTATATTGCCAAAAGCATTATTTAAAAAGATTCCTAAGGGTAGATTATTAGAAGAAATGGAATGGAGGTCTTTAGGAGTTTAATAAAGTAGAGGATGGGTACATTATGAAGTACATAAACCAGAACCTCATATTTTATTGTTCAGAAGGCCTTTAGGAACTGATTTATAAACTGGATTACCCCCTCCTGGATTTAAAGCACCTTATTGAATAATATATTTTTATTTTTGTTTATATATATTATTTAGTAATAAAAATATTTTATATTTATTTATAACTCAATTTTTTTCTGAAAAAATTATATTTTTTTTTTTCAATTATAAAATAATTCTTTGTAATTTATAATTTTGTTTAAATTTAAAAAAATATAATTTTTTTACAAAAATAATCTAATTATTTTTTATTTATTTTCATGATTATTAAAATAATTAAAAATTAATTTATTTAAAATATTTGTATTATTTTATTTTTTTAATTATATTATACTTTATATTTTTTATTTCTTATTTTTTTTTTAAAAAAAAAAGATATATGTATTTTTTTTAAAAAAAAAAAATTAACAAAAATAGACTAGAAAAATCAATAATTAATTTCTTTTTTAATTGAAGTAATTTTAAAAATAAAAAATGAAAAAGAAAAATAAAATAATCATATTAAAAATAAATTTATTCAAAAGTTTTCAAAAAATAATAATAATATTTTTATTAATAACTTTTATATATTAAAATATATTAATTTAAAATCAATAATTACTATAATTTATATATATATATAATCTAAAATAGCATAAAAAAGAAATATGATATTCATTAAATTTAATTTTAAATTAACTAACTAAATTTTTATTCATACCAAGCATTAAATTTTTTAACTTTTTAATATTCGCAAATGGCAGCTTAAGGAAAAATTACTGCTTTTCTTTTAAGTTTTTCTGAAGAAACAAGGAAATCTTCATTATTTAAATTAGAATTCATAATAAAGTTAGAGTTGAAATAATTAAAATATTCAATATTATTTTTTTAGAAAATATCAATTTATTTTTTTAATATTTTTTCTTAATTTTTTTTTTATTTCTTCTTAAATAAACCACATTTTCTGAAAATTCACTTTTATTATTATTTTTAGACACATTTTCTTCCAAAAAATTTTATATTATATTTTTTTATAATTCTACATGTTCATTTTCCCAATTTTTATAAAATGAATTTACATAATTTACATATAAAATTTTAGTCTTTTTTTCCAATGTAAATCTAAAAAAGCTTCTTTCCTAAAAATTCAAATTTTTTTATTCCAAAAGATTATGATTTATTTTTGCAAATAGAATTTCTTCTGGATAGATATCTTCTTTTAATGTTCCTTATCTTTCATCTATATATAATTATATAATATTTTAACTCCAAGCATCTCCTATTAAATTTTATACTGTTTTTAATAATTATTGTAAACTTTTGTCTATTGTAAACATTAAAAATGCTTATTTTCCAAATAAGGACCTTAAGTAATCTTCGTATTTAATTTCCTTTTACTTAATAAAACCAAAAAGTATACTTTTGAAGGCTTTATATCTTTCATTAGCAATTTTTTCTTTTTCTTCTGGATTAAAGTTTAATGTTTTTTCATTTTCTTCAAAATTATTAGATATTTCCCATGCTTTAAAAAGCCTTTCATAAATAATATAAACAAATCTGATAAAAATAAATAGATTTTTCGTACCAAAAAAGGGAAAATAATTATCATTAGCTTTTGGCAAATACAAATTTTCTTTTATTTTTTCAAATGAAAAATTCATTTTTTAAAATTTTTTTTAATTTTGATTTTCACTTATTTCTTCATTTTCATCTTTATGATCCGAAAATTTTGTAAAAGTTGAACAATTATGGTAAAATTGTAAATTTTAATCTTTATTATTTTATAGTTCTTCGTTTTTTTCTTCTTAAATAGTATTATTATTTTCATTGTTTTCTTATATATTTTAAGGATTTTAATTATTATTTGTTCTATGATAGGATTATATTTTATCAAAAATTTTATTTTCGATTTCTTAAACAATTTTAATAGTACGATTTTCATCAAAAGTAATATCTTCCACTGAATCATTAAATCCTTCAAATTAAAGGAACTATTAAACTATTATTCTAAAAGCTTTTTTTATTTTCTTTCTTTCTGCAACGCTATTTATTATTTATGAAAAATAGAAATTTACTAATCCAAATAAATCTTCTCTTATTTTTTTATTTTCAAAATTTAAAGTCATTATAGGAAAAACAAATTTTCTTTAAGTATTTTCAAAATCAAATTTCTCAATAAACTCTTCATTTTAATGATTACACTTCTCTGTATTTGTAGTACCTTAAAAAGAGTTCAAAAACTTAAAAAAGATTCAACATTATTCTCAAACTCTTCTTTATTTTCGAAGTCTTCTTTTTTCATTCTTATTTTATTTAATATTTAAAATCTGAATTCACTTTCTTTTTCAAATCTTTATATTTAAATTAACTTCCTGTCATGTCTTTTAAATATAAACGATCTATGATCTAAAGACCGATGGTAGTTTTTTTCTTATATTTCATGCCATTATTTCTTTGCCTAGTTTTATCTCACATTCATTAATTCTTATAATTTTTCCTTAAGTCTAATAAGTATTAAAGGAGCTGTTTTTTTTGGGTTCATTAATAAAATATCACAAACTTCTTATTATTCCTTTACTCCATGTTTATAAAGAGTACTTATTATTTTTAAATCAATTGCTTATTGTACTATTTTTCTTTCATCTTCAACTTTGATATTATTCTTTTCGACTTTTTCCAATAAAAAAATGGTTCTTTTGAACATCGATATTTGAAAATCGAATTCATATTTTTCATCTTCACTTTTAAAAAGTTATTCCTCATATGCGTTTTTTCTCATTATATTAAATGATACATGTTCTGTACCCATAGGGACTGTTACAATTTTTGTATTTAAAACCTATTTACTCAAATAGTCTGAGTTTGAACAATTTTTAGGATAATATTTCGGCATGTATACATAGCTATGGGTATATCTTTAATGAGTATTAAAATCTATTTCGTTTAAAGGTTTGAAGCAAGTGTTTGCTTTTCTACGACTGCTTTCACGACATTCTACTAAGTCTTTGAAATATTCATATAATAAGGGATTGTTTTATGATAAAGGCTCTAAATATTATTAACTTAACTCTAATACATCAGATGCTTTTAAAATACATTCTAAATACAAATATAATAGTTTTAGAATATTCTGGAAAGCTAAAGGATCCATATATTTGTCAATATAGTTTATTAAAATTTATTCTTACTATTTTTTATTTTATTTATTTATTTATCAGTTTTTTTTTTTTTACTTTTGTTACACCAGATGGTAATTAAACATTTTTTATATCTTCTAATTATTCAATTTATAAATTTTATTCTTTTTTAAAAAAATAAATATTATGATTATTATAATATTTTATATTTAAATATTTTTTTTAATTAAAATAAACTGAAAATTAAATATTTAAATATTTATTTTAAAATATATGATTTTAAATTTCTTATAATTATTTACAAAAATAAAATAAAAAGAAATATAAATAAAATATTTTTATTTTATTTTAATTAAATAAATTACTTTAGTTTTCTGTTTAGATTTTCAATAGTGAATTAATTTAATTTTATTAATTCTTAACTTGTGAAGAACTTTTAATATTTTAAGTATTTATATTTCCATTATTAAGCATATGATAATAACTATTTTATTTATTATTAATTTTATTAATTAAGTGACTATTTTAATTGCTTAAATTATTGTTGAAATTATTATTTATATTAATATTAGCATTATTACTATTATTCTTATTATTATTGATTTGATTGTTTTCTATTTATTTTTAGTTTCTTTTTCTATTCTTTAGTTCTTGTAGATGTATCTGCTTTTATAAAAAAATTATAAATATTATTTTATTAAAAAATATAAAAAAATACATATAAAAATATATAAAAAAATATATATGTTTATATCTAAAAAACAAAAATAAACAAAAATATTTAACAAGAACTTAAAAAAAATATACCTTAAAACACATTTAAAGCCTTCTTATAAATTGGATGATCTTTTCCGAAAATAGATGTACAGACATCAATAAGAATAGCCTATTCATTTCGTGACCAGAATTAGTCTTTTTTTTTATTGCAGCAATAAATTCATTTAATTTTTCAGGATACTTTGTACTAATTTCTTCACAAATTTCAGACGACTATTATTTGATTAATTCTCTTTTTTTCATAATTCCTTTATTATTTATTTATTATTTATCTAATCTTATATTCTCCTATTTATTTTTTTCATTTATATAATTGTTCCCGATTTCACTATCTATTAGTTTATTATTCTTTGATTCTTCAGATATTTAAAATTAATAATCTTAATGCAGCATACTATTTAACTCATGCTAATAATCCCCATAATTTTTAAATAAATCACCTATCCCTTAATAAAAATCTTTCCATTATTCCGGATTTTTAGTCTCACCACAAAACTTAGATACCCTCTTGTATAATACATCATTGTCTTTTCTTAACTTGTTTATAAATTACTATACAAGCTGCTTTAAACGTTATTAATTTGTAGTGCCAGAACCAAATTGTTGGTTTGTTATACTGTTTGGTTAAGTATTATTTTAGTTTAAACCTTAAGATTCGAGTCTGGGTTGTTGCGGTTGAGTAGGTTGATGTGTTTATTATTATTATTACGACATTTATATTATTATTATTATTATTTTGTATTTTTTTTTATTATTAATATTTATTTATTATTATTATTATTTTATTTTTTTTCGTATTGTTTATTAATTTTTTTTTTGATTTTATCTTTATTAATTTTTTAATATAAATGTTGTGTATATGATATTTATATTTATTTTTTTAAAAGTAATTTTGAAAATGTTAACATTAATATATATTAATATTCAATGATATTCCAATATGTATAATATTTAAATTAAAAAGTAATTCTTAAACAATAATTAATTCTATGTAATATATATAAAACAAATTATTATTTATTCATTTTATAAAAAAAAAAAAATTATGATTGCTAAAAATATCAATTTAAATTTAAATAAATAATTTATTATATATAATTATGTTATTTTAATTTTTATTTTTTATAAATTTAAATTAGGGATTTTATTTTTTCTTTTTAAAATAAAATATGGTTTAAATATAAAATTATAAATTTTATTATATTAAATCTAAATTAGCATTCTTATTATAATATTATTCTATATAATTGATATAAGTTTTATAAATAATTTTAATTTAAATGAAAAAAATATAAAACACTATATAAATATATATATAAATATATATATATATATATATATATATATATATAATAATATTATATTTTTATTTATTTTAAATATTTATTTTTTCTTTATTTTTTTATTATATTCTTTTTATTTATTAATTAATTTAATATATAGTAATCATTTTATACTTTTGTCATTTTATCACTTAATATTATATTCCTATATTTGTATCTTTCTATTCTTTTATCATTTTAACTTTTATTCCTTTTATTATTTTATTCTTTAATCATTTTATTATTTTATCATTTAATCATTTACCCTTTTATTTTTTATAATTCTATCATTTTATCATTCTATCATTTTATTATTCTATATTTTATCATTTTATCCTTTTATTATTCTATACTTTTATCCTTTTATCTTTTTATTCTTTTATCATTTTATCATTTTATTCTCTTATATTATTATATAATACATTGATTACTATTGTTAAATAAAAATAAAATAAAAAAATTATAATATTAATAACATATATAAATAAATTAATATTAAAAATATATAAAAATTAGTTTATTTTTATATTTGAAAAAAATGAATGAATTTTTTAATTTGTTTTAGAAAAAAAAGTAAATTTAAATTAAATAAGTACACTTATTCTTATTTTAAATATTAATAAAGAAAATTTTAATATAAGATTAAATTCAAATAAAAATAAAAATAAATTAATTATAATATTTATTTAATTAATTTATTTTTTAAATAATATTTAATGCTAAAAAAAATATTTTTGTTTTATATATATATAATCTAATTTATGTATATATATTTTCAACTTATTAATAATTTATATAAAAATTTTAAACTTAATATACAAATATAAAAATATTTTTAAAAAATATAAATATTAAAAGTATAATATATCTTAAAAATTATAATTATCTTTTATAATATTAATTAAAATCAAACTAAAATATTATATATAATTAAAAAATTTAAATTGAAAAAATAAAAATTATAAATAATTAGAAGTAAACTATTATATTAATTTTCATTAATAAAATAATTAATATTTTTATTAATATTATTTAAAAATACTTTTATATATTTATAATTTTATACATAAAACATAGAATTTTCTTAATTTAAATTACCATTATAAATATAATTATTTTCTTATAAAATTTATAATTAATAATAAAAAAAATATTAAAAAAAATAGCCAAGAGGAGGTAAATTACTAAAAATAAAATAAAAAAAGACACAAATATAAATAAAATATAGGATCATCAGGAAGAAGTTCAGGATCATCAAGAAGTACAGCTACTGCATAAAGACCTGCTCCATAAATGCAAAAGCCTGCTCCTTAACCAGTTGCTTAATAACAATAAAAATCTGGTGGAATGTTTTCAGGACTTGGAAGTACATTAATGCAAGGAATGGCCTTTGGTGCAGGTTCTGAAGTTGCTCATTAAGCAATTAGATCAGTTATCGGATCAGGTTTATAATTAAAATTAATAAAAATAAAATATTAATAATAGGATCGTCACATAACAGTTAAGAAGCTCCTGTTTAATAATAATAATAAATTTAACCTTAATAATGTGGAGAAGAAACTAATAGCTTCTCTAATGTAATTATATTTTAATAAATTTTATTTAATTATTATTATTTTTTATTTAAATAAAGTGTCTTAGATAACATACTGAATTATCTATGTGCTAAAGTTACATGGATATGCTAAAGGAATGTTAAAGAAAAAATAACTTTTGAATTTGAAATAAAAAAAATTTGGATTTAAAAATAATATTATGAAAAACATTACCAATATTTTTGTTTTTCTTTAGAAATTTATTTTTATTTTATTTTTTCTAAAAAAATAAATTAAAATATAATTAAATAGACTTTTTTCTCCTTTTTTAAAAGTTAAATATAAAATTTTATTTTTTTACTCTTTCATATATATAATAAATATATTATATTTTTTTTTTAAAAAAATAAAAAGTTATTATTATTACTTTTATATATAATTTTTATTTTTTTTCTTATAATTTTAAATACAAGTTTTCTACACTAAATATTAAAATAACTATATTTTAATATCTAATACAATTTTAATATTTTTTAATTTATTTACAAAAAACCCATAATAATTTTTTATTTTAAATAATTTTAATTAAGAACATAATATTTAAATTATATATAACAATTTATGTTTTTTTAATTATATATATATATATATATATATATATATATATATATATATATATATATATATATATATATATATATATATATATATAAAAAAATAAAATATGTGAATGAAAAACTTGCAAACGAAAATAAATCAAATTGATTATTTGTTCAATTGTTCCTCCTGAATTAAAAAAAAATATTTTTTTTTTAAATAAAAATCATTTAAAAATAAAATAAAAATCATCTATAATATAAAAAATTTTATAAAGTAAAAATTCTGCATATATATAAAATTATTCAAAAAGTAAAACTTTGTAAATAATAATAAAAAAAAGTAATATAATTTTTGACACTAATTAATTAGAGAATAATTTAATTTATTTATAGATTGATAGAAATCTTTAAGTGGGAAAAAAGTGAATTAATTAAAAAATAACTAATAGTTTATTTTTACTCCGAATCTAATAGATAAATAAAAACTTTTTAAAATTAATTTGCTTATTTCTTTAAATTTATAAATTATTTAAAAAGATAAAGTTGAATATACAAAAAGAAAAATAATTAAATTATAATTTATTTTATAGAAACATGTAAACCATAAATATCTGAATCTTAACCAAAATAGTTAAATTAAGTGTATTTATTAAAATCATATATTATTTTAACTTTAAAAATTATTACTAAGACTACAATTAAAAACAGGAAAAGGGTTCATTAACTATTTTATTTAAATATAATAATAAAAAAATAGATAATTTTATATATAATACTTATGGATTTTATTATTTATTGTCAACAATTTTATTGCTTAATTTTTAATTTAATTAACTTAACAAAAATCTTTTTTAATTTTATAAATCTCTATTAATAATAGTAAGCGTTTCTAGCTTATTTTAAATATTAATTTTATCAGAATTAACTTTGAATTCTAATTATTTAGCTTTTTAATATAAAAACTCATTATCACTTAAAAGTTTTAAAAAGCGATTTTAATTTCTTTCAATTTCTTCTTAAAAAAAAAATTTTCTGCATCTAAAGTTTTTGATTAATTATCATAATCATCTTAATATTATGACACTTCGTATTATAATGCTTAATATAAATTATGATAATCGCTTTCTAATCCCATTTTTCCTTCTTCTGTTAATTTTTAAAGATCATATAAATTAAATTCATCTTATGTTATTTACGGTTTAAATTTTCTCATATTTATTTTATATATTATAAGAAGTTATATATTTTTTTTTTTTAATAATAAATTATATTTTATCCAATTATTTTCATAAACAATTTTTTTTAATTTATATATATATATAATTTTCATTTCTTGGGTTTAAACAAAATGAAATCTACATCAGTATATCCTATATCTATTGAAATATAAAAATATAAATAAATAGTTATGTATATAATACCTTTTTTATGGTATTTATTAAATCTTTTTGGCAAAGGAAACTTTATTTATTTAAGCAAAATAAATTCATATTTATATTATTCTGCTTTTTTCATTAAAAACTACAAATTTTTTTTTTATTTTTCTAAAATTAGCTTTTTAAAAATAAAAAAATACTTTTCTCGTAGAAGATTTATGCATAGAATATACATTTCCATTACAACTTTCTTTAAATAACAAATAATTATACAAAAATAAAAAAAAAATATTTACAAAAAGCCTTTTCTAAAAATAAAGAATCAATTCCTTCATCCTTAGTCCCAAAAGGAGGATTCATAACAACAATATCAAAAATTTTACATTTTACATTCCATTATTTAAGATTTATATTAATAATATCAAACATTGATTAATCTTCGAATTTTTCAATTAAGCCATTGTTTGAAATTTCTGCATATTTAGTATCTATTTCAAATCCAATAACATTTCTTTAAAAAATAAATAAAAAATATTTTTTTTTATAAAAACCTTGCACCTATATATATCATTCCTGCAGTTAACATACCTGTCCCACATCCGAAATCACCTATAATTTTTGTTTCTAAATCTTCTTCTATCTTTTATATTAATGATAATTTTAATTAAATTTATTTTTTACATCTAAAATTTATGTTAAACATTATGCTGCTATATTTGGAGGAGTTAAATGTTGTTCTAATATCCATTTATCTTTTTCTCCTTAATCAAAGTTATCCATATCTGATAAAAACAATTCTATATGCTTTAGTTTTATTTTGCCTTACATGATTTTTTTATATTATTTTATATTTATATTATAAATATAATTCTAGTATTAATAAAATTATTAAATTTGTTTTAGGCGAAAATCTTTTATACAAATTAATATATTTATGATTCATAAACAATATTTTAACTAAATAATTTGTGATTATTTATTATACGTATAATATAATTGAAATAACTATTTTATTTATTAAATTTATCAAAAATATTTATAAAATTAATTAATACAATTTTAATAAAAATATATAATACTATAATTTATTTTTAAAAAAATACTATTATAAGCTTTTTTTATTTATTTACAGGCATCAAATCCTGAAAGTTTATTGCATTTCAAAATATACAAAAAATAAATAAAATTCAAAAGAATTTTTTTTTATTTTTAAAAATGAACCATTATAGAAGGCTGTAAATAATAATATATTTCTAATTTTTTATAATAAATATTTAATATTTATAAAAAATTTGTATTTATAAAAATACTTTCTTCGTAAAATCTGAAAAAATAATTATTAAAAATAAAAATAAAAAATATATAAATTAGTTTACATAGTTTATTATTTTTAATATTAACACATTATAAATTAATTTTATTATTAAATTTAGATAATATATTTATGAAATAGTCAAAATATTAACATAAATATAATTTAATTTCATTGATATTGCTTTTTTAAAATATTCCATAATTATTCAATTTTTTAAAATATAGAATCGTTATTCTTATCATAATTATCTTATTAAATTTAATTTATTTTTTATAAATTTTATACCAAATTCTCAATTATAAAGTTAAACATTTCTGATAACAAAACTTAATAGTTCTTATCATTTTTAAATTTCAAATAAATTTCAAATAAATCCATTATAGGTTTTTATATATTTTCTTAAATTATTTTTTATATTTTTGACATGTTTTCTTCCCAAAAATTCATCATTTTTTTATGTTTTTCTTCTAGACATATATATGAAAAACTTAATATTTTATTTATTTTTTATAAAAATTCCAAGTCTAAATTTAGAGAACTCAAAAATACTTCTTTTTCTTTAAATTTTATTTCGACTAAACTTTTTCTTTATGTTTTTTCTATTAATTCTTCATATAAAACTTCGCTTTCTTTAAAAAAGCTTAACACCTATGAATTATAAATTGCTATTTTTTCAAAATTTTCTTTTTATAAATTCAAAATTACATTCTTTTCTTCTAAATCAACACCCAACTATGTACATAAAACCATAAAAGAATGAATTTATTGGATAATTTAAACTTTTTAATATTAATTATTTGAATTTTAAATAAAATTTTGAATAAAAACAAGCATTTAATTAGCTTATTTTTATAGTTCAAAAAATGAAGGAATATTTTTTTTTTGAGAAATTTAGTCAGTATTTTATTAAGAAAATTCATACGAAATTTCTTATTAAATTTCATGAATTTTTTTAATCATATTTGTATAATTTTTTAATGGGTTTTCTTGTTCTAATATACCTATTTAAAATTCTAATTCTGTACATATTTTTCTTGTATTTTTAAGATGCTTAATTAATTTTTCTACTTTTTTCTTATATTTTAGTACTTTGCTTTATAATAAATGCTCTCTCATTTAATTAGGATTTATTGATTATTTCAAAAGCTTTATTTGGGATTCTTTATCCAAAATATCTTATTAAAGTATATCATATTAATTCTATATTTCTTATTTTTTTTCTTTTAATTTATTGTTATCTTACTTTAAACGAAGATTTTCCTATTTCAATGTATTAATAATTTCCTTTTCAGATGTATTTTCTTAAATTTATGAAACTTTGGAAATATTTGTTTTGATTGTTTAACTAAATTTAGGGTTTTATAATGGCTTTTTCTATAAAGAAAAGTTGGGCTTTTTTTACATTTTATTTTTAATTTGATATTTTTATATAATAATTAAATATATAAAAAAATTTAAAAAAATCATAAAGACATTAATTAAAAATAAAGATTTTAAAAATAATAATTTTATTTGAGGTATAAATCATAGTGTTATTTTTGCATTTCAACTTTCAAGTTATTTATTGTTTAAGGATATTTAGTTGCTAAAAGTTAATCTAACTCTTCATCTAGTGTTTTTATTATATTTTAAATAACTTAATTGTCTTTTTCAATTTGATATTCTTTCTCATCTATATTTTCTTGACTTAACTATTGTTTACTATAAAAAAAATATTATTTTATAATTTTTTAATCTTTTATATTTTTTACGTTTTTTAAAATATCAATTAAGTTTAATTTAATTATATTATTCTTTTATTAAGATTATTAAATGAATATATATATTAATCTAAAATATCTATTATTTCATTTATCATTTCGGAAAATATTTAAAGAACCTATGATTGCTTTGGTTCATTAAATTATGTTAGCAAATTCGAAAGTATATTTTATTAAAAATTTATTTGTAAATTTTATATTTGTATTTAGTCACTTTCAAACTCTTTTAATAAGTCTTATATACTTTAAGAAGTATCCTATATTTATTTATATTATATTTTATTAAATTAGTATACTTTTTACATCATATTATTAAATTAATGTATTTAAGATTATATTTATTTTTGTAAATAAGCTTTTATTTTCTAATATTTTTTATATTTTAATATTTATTTATTAATATATTTTATCATATTCATAAGGATTATTTGCTTAAATATTAATTCCAAAATATTAACTTATTTATTGTATTTTTTATTAAAGAAGAAGACTTATATTTTTATAATCTTTTAAAGTATTAATTTAAAAATAAAAGTTTTCATCCATATTTTATTCTTTCTCTTAAATTAAAATGTCTATTTTTTATCTAAAATCTTCCTCTTTACTTTCCAGAAAACTAATAAAAATTTCATTTTATAAAATTTTAGGTTTGTTAGATATGTTTTTTAAATAATATTCTAATTTCTATTTTTATATATATTAAAAACAAATAAATATATATATATATAAATATATATATATATATATATATATATATATATATATATATTTATTTAAAAATTCATTTACTCTTTTTCTTTTTTCCATGAAATCTATATGATCTTAGTTTTGAAAATGTTAAATAATATTATGCTTTGCAGGTAAAACAGGTAATATAATCCCAGGAAAAACTAAACTGAAATAAATTTAAAGTCTTTCAAAATCTTTATATCTTCTTTATACTTTATTTTCTCCTTAATTTTGTATATTACTTTTTATCTTAAAGACATAATATCCTCTTTAAAAAATACCTTCTTTTTACAGAAAATCATATCCTGTGATTTATATATTTATTTTTTGTTTTTATATCAAAGATATACCAATATTATTTGATGTATTCAGGTTTATTTTATTAAGCTTTTCAATATGACTTTTACTCATTTAATGAGATAAATCGAGATCATCTTTTATTTATACGTTTTCGTTTTCGAGATTCTTTAGTTAAGTTATTGGACGCACATATAATGAGGTTTCTATATTTGCATTTTGAAAATTATTCTTATTTTGATTTTTAAAATTAAAATTTAGCACTTCTAATGTTTGAGTGTTAAATACATTTTAATTCTGGTCTCTTATACATTCGGAATTTTAGCCAAATGAAAATGAGTTTTTGGGATTAAAATCTAAATTTTCTAAATCTTCTTGAGTGTTCATAATTTTTTTGTTTAAATATTTAAAAAAAAAAATTTCTTTATTCTTATTCAATATATATTATATAAAAAAAAAAACTACAGATATTATATATTATATAAAAATATATATTAAATTATATTCTTAATAATAACTATTATTTAAAAAATTATAAATTATCATTTTTTAATTATTATTTATATTAATAAAATATAATTAAAGTAATGCAATAAACATATTTTTAAGTATTATCTTAAAATATTTAATTTTCATATTTTATAAAAGTATTTTTTGTTATAAATAATGTTTAATAAGTATTTTTTATAAAAATATTATTTTTATTAGTTTTTATATTTATATAAATTAAAAAAAAAATGTATTGAAATATTTATAAAAATTATATTTCAAATAAATAAATATATTATTTATTTTAATATTAATAGTTAGAGATAAATATTTATTATAATTTAATAAAGTTATTAAATTAATATGATTTTTTTTCTAATATTACTTTTTTTATTTTTATAATCAATCTTTGATAAAATAAATGAAATTGTATTTATTTTATCAATAATTAGAAATAAACTTTTATGTTATTTATAAGCAAAAATAAATAAAATATTTATTAATATTTAAAAATTTAAATATTTTCACTTAATTAATAATAATAAATAATATATATAAAAAATGAAACTAAAAATATCATTATTCCTTACATTAATATTTTTGCGAATTTTTACAAAATATATTTATGCTTAATCTTAAAATTCTTCTAATGTTTAATAGTTAAAATCATAAATTGAATAATAATCAGATTAACCTTAAAAATAAGAATAAGAAATATAAAATAATAAACACAATTACGATAAAGAAAATCATTATTAAAAAAAGGAAAAAAACGGTGAAACAAATGATTTAAAAGAAGTTGAAGGATAAGAATAATAATATACACCAGACGATTTTGAGTTTTATTTATTTATATTTATAGCGACATGTATTATTTAAATTAAAATAAAAAACTAAAAAATAATTTAAAAAAAAATAGTTTTGGTATTATTTGCAGGCATATGTTCAGGCCTTACTGTAGGTTATTTAAGTATAAACGATCTTTAATTAGAGATAATAATGATAAATGGTAGTGAAAAAGAGAAAAAATCGGTAAGAAAATATATTAGTTAACATTTGAAATTAAATATATAAAAAGGCAAAAGCAATAGGATAAATAATAAAAAACCATCATTTATTATTATCAACTCTTTTATTATCAAATGCATTTTGTATGGAAGCTTTGCCAATTTTTTTAGATGCTATATGTCCTGCTTATTTGGCAATTTTAATATCTGCAGTTGCCGTTGTTATTGTAGGAGAAATAATACCTCAAGCTTATTGTATAGGAAAATATTAATTAGTTATAGGAGAGTTTTTTGTGCCTTTAACAAAAATTTTAATTAAATTTTTGTGTATTTTAACTTATCCTATTTCCATTATTCTAGATAAGGTTTTAGGTGTGCATGAAAAAACAAGAATGGATAAAAAAGAAATAATTGGCCTTGTTGAATTATAGGAAATTAATAAATAAAAGCAAGGGAATAGTGAATAAGTAAAATAGATTTTTAGTAAAATAAAAAACAAATAAATATATATAAAAAGGAAGATGAAGGTCTTACAAAAGAAGAAATTGAATTAACAAAAAACACAATGCTTTTAAGGGATTAAAATGTCTGTACTAAACTAATTCCTTATAATAAAATATTCAAATTTCCATAAAACTAAAAAATTACAAAATAATTAATCCAAAAAATTGCAAAAAAAAGTTATTCAAGTATTGTAATATACGATCATTTAAATGACTAAAACATTATAGGAATTTTAAAAGCTAAAAGTCTAATTAATTACATTGATACTGAAATAGGAAAAACTCTTATTTAAGTAATAAAATTTTAAGAACCGATTATAATTACTAAAGAAGCTAATATGCTCGAATTATTAATGATTTTTACAAACAAATAAACCACTGTTGCTTTAGTTTCAGATACTATTGTAAATTTGGAATCTAACATATTGAAAAATATTTAAGATCCAAAGGCATACTTATTTATTTTTCATTTTTCATATTAAAAAAATATTTTAGCTTAAAAATAGGATTATCGAACCTTAATAAAATAAAGGCAATATATTAGGACTTGTTAGTCTAAAAGATGTTTTCGAATGTATGATAAGTAAAGAATTTTAAGATGAAGATAAGCATTTAGGTACTTTGGCACCAATGGAAAATGTATTTTATATAATAAAAATTTTATTTTTTTATTTTTTTTTAGCTTATAAAATCATTAGTTAGTCAAAATTAGTAAAAATGTGCAAATTATAAAAATGATTCCATAAGAAGAAAATATTGATTTTTTTGTGAATATATTCAAAAAGTTAAAAACTTTTTGTAAAAAATTTATAAATCATATTAATTATTTTTCATAAATAATTTATAAATATAATTAAAATAAAATTAAAAATATTAATTGTGAAATTTAAATAAAAAATTATTATTTATTAAAAAATTAATATAGTTAAGTATATTATATTTTAAATAATAAAGAAAAATTAATAAGTATTATTTAAATAAATTATATTAATATTAAATATATATATATATATTTAATACAAAATTTTATAATTTATATATAATAAAATAGTAATATTTTTAAAATAAAAATAAAAGATAAAAAAATAATAAATTAATATTAAAAATTGTATAATAAAGATATGTATAAATTAATAATTATATTTTAGAGAATTTATAATTTCTAAAAATTTATATATTATTTTTTATAATCAAAATATAAATATTTTATTAAAATATTAATATGTATAAATTTAAAATAAAATTAAATGATAAAAAAAATTTAAAAAATATAAATATTTAAAAAAGAAAATAAAAAATTATAAATTACAAATATTATAAATAAATGATTTATAAAAATATTTATTTATATATTTATTTATTTATTTATTTATTTATTTATATATAATATAATATAATATAATATAATATTATATAATATAATTGTATTAATATTAATATCTTATTTATTTCTAAAGATAATAAAAATATTTCTAATTTATTTAAAATTTTATTATATTTAAAATGATAAACACTAAAAGATTAAAATCAAAAAAAATATATTTGAAAAAATCATAAACTATTTTATATATCTTTATTACATTGATTTATTTTAAATATTTATAAAAATATGTAGATATTTTTTCAAAAACAAAAAACTACATTTAATTCTTCATCTGAAAAATTATAAATATTTAATTTTAGTATAAGGTTTAATAATAAAGTAAAATTAAAGATAATAAATTGAAACTTTAAATAAATTTTAAAATTAACATTTTTAAAATTATATTTTAATTAATTTTAAATTAATTAGGTATTTAAATATAAATAAAAAATGGATTAAAAAGATTATCATTTTAAATTTAGATTTTCAATAATAGGTAATAAAAATAATAAAAAATACTCTATATACTTAATAAAATAATAATAGGCGACAAATCAGTAGGAAAAACATCATTTATGGAGTGTATTAATAAATAATATAAAAATTATTTAAAAAAAAATAAATGTAAAGCAATTACATAAAATTATGGTAAAATAATGGAATAAGAATAAAGTGATGAACTAAATATGAAGGTCATAAAATAATTTAAATAAATTTATTTTAAAAAAGTATTAAATTTATAAAAATATAGACAGTTGGATATATGGATGTTGATACATTTTTTAAAATAGCGTATTGGGAAATTCCAGGATAATAAAGAAATTAAGAATACTTTTATAGATATTGTTTAGGAGCATCAGCAGCTATATATATATTTGATAGTATATTTGAAAATTAAAATTATAAAAACTTATAATTTATTTAGTATCAAGGAGGTAAACTTTTGAAAGAATTGAAAATTGGATATAAGAAAGTGAAAAATGTGAAATTCCTATTAGAATATTAGTTGGAAATAAGGTTTTTAAATAAGAAATTTGTATAAAATTTTTTCTTATAAATATATATGCGTTTATAGGTTGATCTTTATTCAAGTACAAAAGGAGCTGTTCAAAAAAGTGAAGCTTTAGGCCTTGCTAAAAAATACGGAATGGAATATTTTGAAACTTGGTATTTTATTTAAGAAATAATTAATAATTTATTATACACATATATTAATTTATATAAAAAAAGTTCTATTGGAGATTCTTCTATTTCGCTTGTATATGATTATTTATTTACAACTGTTGTTAATTCTATTCCTAATCCACCAACGCCTCAATCTTTGATTGGGAAAGGAATTTTACTTGGAAAAAGACTTTTAAATTCAGCAAAATATTAATTAGTATAAATTTACATATTAATTTTTGTTTAATTATTTTTTAAAAATAAATTCAGGCTTTATGCGATATAGCTTCTCTCTATGAATGATTGATATATTTTTTTTGAATCTACTTGTAGTTATTTTTTATTTTATGTATTTATTCTGATTTATAAATATATTTTTAAAAGATAATTTATATATAAACAAAAAGTTTTTTTTTTATGTTAATTAAAAAAAAATTAATTTTATTTAATAAATGTTTAAATCATTAAAACCAAAACCAATTTTTAAAAATTAAAATTAATATCCTTCTAATAAATAAAAATATATATCTTTAGTATTTAATTATAAATTTTATAATAATCACAAAATTAACTTATATCAACTATAAATTAAAATTCATTTTTTTATTAAATTATTTTTATCATATTATATCATATCTTATTATATAAAATCATATTATATTATATCATGTTATATTTTTTTTATTTTATTTTTTTTATTTTAAATTATTTTATTTTATTTTATTTAATTTATATTGGTATTTATTTTTATATATTATATATATATAAAAATCATTAATTAAATGGGTAATACGTTTTAAAATTGCACTTCTAGAGATAAAGATAAAATCAAATAAAAAGAAAGCAAAAAATCAGTTGCTTTATCTGCTAATTAAACGTATTAATGTTAAGTTTAACAAAGTATAATGGCAGATTAATAAGCACAAGATAAAACATAAGAAAATCCTTAAAGTAGTGATAATTAGTAAGCATTGAATTAAGAAGAGTTATAATTATAACAAAATAAAATTACTGATTATCAGCAAGTAGTTAATTAATCTTAAGAAGTAAAAGGAGAAAACTAAAATATTAATAAATAAGAATAAAATAATTAATAAGAAATTAAAGATATTCTTGATGATAAAAAAAATTAAGATAATTTAAATTTAATATCGGACGAAAAAATAGCTGAATAATAACAATATGAAGAAAAATAAGAAGAAAAATACTAAGAATAAACTGAAGTAAAAAAATAAACATAATACATTTTTTTAAAGGATTAATAAGAAATATAATAAAATAATGAAAAAAAATAAGAATAATTGAACTAAAGCTATGAAATTAAATAATAAAAATACAAATAGAATGAAAAAAATTAGGTATAAAATGAGGAAAAAAATAAATAAAAATAAGAAGAATAACATGAAAACTAAAACAAAAAGTAAATTGAGAAAAAACATGAAGAAGAAAAAGAAGAATATTAAATTGAAAATAATAAAGAAATGTAAGAAGATATGAATTAAGAATAATAGGAAATTTCAAATTAAAAAGAATAATAAAAACTAATTGAAGGAAAATAAATAGATAGTCAAAAAAATAAATAGGAAGAATAAAACTATAGCCATAATAAAAAAAATAGAAATAAAAATTAAAAAAAAGAAAATATTTTAAAATAAAAATAAATAGAAAAATATAATTATTAAGAAAAAGAGAAAAAAGAAGAAAAAGAAGAAAAAGATAAAAAAGATGAAAAAGAAGAAAAAGATGAAAAAGATGAAAAAGAAGAAAAAGAAGAAAAAGAAGAAAAGGAAAAAAAGAAGAAATAAAAGATAAGAATGAAAAAGAAGATAAGAATGAAAATGAAAATGAAAATGAAAAACTGGAAAACAAAAAAATAAAATAAGAATAAAAATAAAATAAAGAAAAAAAAGAAAAAAAAAAATTGAGGAATAATAGAAATAAATAAAAAATAAGAAATAAAATGAAAAATGAAATATAGAAAATAAAGAATTAAAAAAAAAAGAAGAAAAATATAAAAATGATAATAAAATAAAAATTGTAAAAAAAAAATAAAAAATTAAAAATTAAAAGTTAAAAAAAATTAAAAAAAATAAAATTAATAAAAAGAAAAATAAATAAATAAATAAAAAAATTAAAAAATAAATAAATATATAAATAAAAAAACAATAAATAAATAAATAAATAAATAAATACATAAATAAATAAATAAATAAATATAAATTCATATATAAATATAATCATAAATATAATTTTATTTATTTTAATAACAAATAATTAAGTTTATTTTTTTTTCCTTACACATTTTTAATTCTTTCATATATTTAATATTTTTTTACTATATTTTTTTTTTTTTTTTATAACTTCTAATAATTTTTATTTTAAAAATTCTTTTAAGTTTAACTAATTTTTAGCAATATTTAAATTAACAAAATAGAAATTATTTTTATTATTTAAAAATAAATAAATATTTATAAAAAATGTAATTAAATAAAGAAGTAAACGAACTTGTATTTACAAGATTAAAATAAGAAAGAAAATAATGGAGATAAGATCATCCTCATGTATTTATAATTATATATATATTTTTTAATTCATATTAAAAAATATAGCGTTTCGTAGCAAAACCTACTACTAAAGATGATGGAACTATTAATATGCTTAAATGGTATTGTGAAATTCCTGGACCTGAAGGAGTATAAAAATATAAAATAAGATTTTTATTTTTTTATTAACATTTAAGAGTCCTTGGGAAGAAGGTGTCTATATTTTATATATGGACTTTTCTCAATCCTACCCTATAAAGCCTCCTAAATGTAATAGACTTATATAATTATTTATTATAATTAAATACAGGTTAATTTAAGCCTGTTTTACCTCATCCTAATGTTTATCCTAGTGGTTTTTTTTTTAATATAAATAACAAATTTTTTAAAATTAATATTAGGAACAGTCTGTCTGTCAATTTTAAATGAAGAAGAAGACTGGAAATCTGCAATCACTATAAAATAAGTATTAATGGGAATATAAAAATTACTAAAAGACGAGCCAAATATTGATAGTCCAGCTTAATATGATCCTTGTGTTTTATATAAGTATAAATATGTTTTTTTTAATTTACAAAATAACCTAAAAAAAGAACAAATAAAGAATTGTATTATTAAAAAGTAAAAGAGTTCGCGCAACAAATGAAGAAGAAAAGCGAATGATATTATATAAAAATTTTATTATATTTAAAATTAGTAAAATAATAATTAAAGGAAAATATTTATATACTTTAAAATTTTAAATACATATACTCATTAATAAATTAATAAAATTATAATTAATTTTTAATATAAACTATATTTTAACAAACAATTTTAAAAGTTCTTAATTGCATAAAAAAGTTATAATTTTTAACAATTTCTTATTTATAAACTAAAAAAAATTTTAGTTAATAAATTACTTATTAATATAATCAAAAATATTATCTATAAAAAAAAAAAAAATTCTTATCAAAATATTAATATTTATTAAAAAATATAATAATTTATGTAAATGATAAAAATAAATTAAAATTAAATGTGATAAATTAAATAATACTAAATATTGCTATAATTATTATAAAATCAACTATAATAAAAAAAAATAAAAATATAATTATTGAATAAAAATAATAATATAATATAAATATAATATAATATAATAAAAATAATATTTTTTTATATTTTATTTTTTATATATTATATATTTATAAATTATTTTTTTTTTATATATTTTTTTTTATATTTACTATTTTAAAGTATTAATTTTTTTATTTTTTTTATTTTTTCCTATTTTTATTTGATTGTTATTAAATATCTATTTTTTATATTATATAATTTAGGATTTATTTTAATTTTTTTATATTTTATATATTTTTTAATTATTTTTTTATAATTATAATATTATATTATAAGTATTCTTTTTATTTTAATATTAATAATATTAAATAAAAATAATTTATTATATAAATTATTTTAAAAGATTTAATAAATAAAAATATATAAATTTAATATATAATAAAAATGATAATTTAATAGTAATAATGTAATGCAAGAGTCGCATCATGTACATTAAACTAATGGGCAATGGATTTCGAATATAATAAACAAAATATTATAAAATCAATATAAATAGCTAAAGAAAATAAATGTACAATTCGCCTCGGTCCTGAACTAGAAATAAGTGGGTATGGATGTGAAGATCATTTTTTAGAATTAGATACAGTCACACATTCATGGGAAGTATTAGGAGAAATCCTTTCAGATTCATAATTAACCAAAGACATATTATGTGCAATTGGAATGCCTGTATTATTCAATAGTATGTTATTTAACAGTTGTGTATTATTATTAAACTAAAGGATTATTTTAGTTCGTCCAAAAATATATTTAGCAGATGGTGGTAATTATAGGGAACCTCGTTATTTTACCGCATGGAAATCTCATCGATCTTTAGAAGAACTCGAGCTTCCTCAATTCATATAAAAAATAACTAATTAAAAGTATGCTCCTTTTGGAAACGCAATAATATAAACAAATGATACGCGCATAGGTATTGAAACATGTCAAGAACTATGGGTTCCAAGTACTTTAAGCAGCTAACTAGGCTTAAATGGAGTAGAAATATTCTTAAATTAAAGTGGATCTCATTATGAAGTCCATAAATAAAAAAGGAGACTACATATGATTCTTGAAGCCACAATTAAAACTGGAGGCGTTTATATTTATTCTAATTTAAGAGGATGTGACGGTTCTCGAGTTTACTTTGATGGGGCTTCTATTGTGGCCTAAAATGGAAAAGTACTTGGAATGACTGATATGTTCTCTCTTTAGAATGTAGATGTGGTTGTTAGTGATATTGATTTAGGAAAAGTAAGAAGCCATAGGGCTGAAAAAAAATCTTTTGGAGAATAATCTGTTGAAAGATCGATAAAATAGCAATTTCCAATTATCAAAGTAGACTTCTAAATAGCAAACATTAATTTTTTTGATGTAAATTTGAAAGAATTAGATGATAAAGAGGTTGAATAATTTATTATTAATGACATGTCTTATGGTCCTTCGTGCTTTTTATGGGATTATTTAAGAAGATCAGGTGCATCTGGATATTTTTTACCGTTTTCAGGTGGAGCAGATAGCGCTTCTTCGGCTTTAATTGTGTTTAATATGTGCGAAATCGCTTATTAGACAATAAAAGAGAAAGAAGATTTGGATGTTCTTGAAACTCTGAGAAAGATTGTTGGGGATGAAAACTATAATCCATAAAATTCAAGAGATATTTGTAAAAAATTGCTTTTTACAGCATATATGGGTAGTAGAAATTCCTCTTTATAAACAAAACTTTTGGCAAAATAATTAGCAGATGAAATAAATTCAAGGCATTTTGAAATTTCAATCGATAAAATTTTTTAAGCTTTCGAAGATACTATTGAAGATGTATTTGAAAAAAAAGCATAATTTAATTAAAGTTATTAAGAAGATCTTGCGCTCCAAAATATTTAAGCCAGGTCTAGAATGGTTCTAGCTTTTATTATGGGATAATTGGCTTAATGGAAAGATGGAAGATAAGGGTTTCTTTTAGTTTTGGGATCATCTAATCTAGATGAAGGACTTAGAGGTTATTTTACTAAATATGATTGTTCTTCTGCAGATATTAATCCTATTGGCTCTATTTCAAAAAATGATATTAAAGCCTTTTTAAAGTAAAGTTTAGGAAATTTATTAGTTTATTTTTTTTTTTAGATGGAATTATAATGTTAAAGGCATTTAAAGTGCTCTTAAAATACTTGAAGCAGTGCCTACGGCTGAATTAAGGCCTATGGAAGATAATAAAATAACTTAAGCAGATGAGTAAGATATGGGAATGAGTTATAATGATTTAAGCGTATATGGGAGACTTAGAAAAATTGAAAAGCTTGGACCTGTTTCAATGTTCAAAAAACTCGCTTAGATGTGGAAAGATCTTAATGTCAGAGATGTTGGGGAAAAAGTTAAAAAATTCTTTAAATTTTATTCTATTAATAGGCACAAATAAACAACATTAACTCCAAGTTTTCATGCTGAAAATTATTCTATTGATGATAATAGATTTGATTTGCGATAATTCTTATATAATTCGAAATGGACTTATTAATTTTAAAGAATTGATTATTTAATTGATGAAAGAGAAAAATACTTAAAAGCCAATTAAAAAAAATGATTTTTTTAATAATTCTCTATCTTAATTAAATTTTGAATGAAAATAATTTATTTTATTTAGAATTTTTAAATATTTTACATTAAAATTATAAAAAATAAATAAAAATATTATTAAAATTTTAATTTGTGAATTAATTTAAGAGCTAATTTTTTTTATAAATCTCTTTCTTAAAAGATAAGATTATTATTTACATTAATTTATTTGGATTATATCAAATATTTATTAATTATAAATATTCAGAATATCGGCTATTTATAAATTTTTATATTATTTTTATATATTAAAGAAGTTTGATTTAAATTTTTTATTAAATAAGTTGAAGTAAACTTTTATCTATTATTTTTTAGATAATTTTCATTAAATCATTTTCTTTCAAAGGTCTTATATTACATTTTTGTTTATTATATTTCTATAATTTTCAGATATTAAAATTATTTAAATTATTTATATATTATTATTATTCTTATATTTTTTATTATTTTTTTTATTGTTTTATCATAGATTATATTTTCATGTAATATTCCATATTTTTTGATTATATTTAATCCAACTATCTAAAGCTGTATTTTTGTTTTTAATTAAAACTAGATTAATTAGATATTGATAAACTTGTAGTTAATATTGAAAAATTTATTTATATTTATAAACTTTATTTTTAAAATTAAAATTTTATTTTTTATTAATATATCATATTATTATTATAATATTTATTTTTGAATAATAAAAAAGTTTTTTTTTTAAAAAAAAAGATAACTTTTATTTTTAAAATAATATTAGAAAAAAAAGCAAATGAACATTCTTAACTTATACAATACAATATTGAAACCGTAAAAAACTTAATATCCTTCGAAGACTACAAAATCATTAATGAATATAAGCTAAATTTAAAACAAAAAGAATTTTTAGAATGATATATATTATAAATATAGAAAATCTGCCCGAGCTACTAAAAACGAAATAATAATTCAAACAAAAGGAGATATAACTTAAATTTAAGATGAAGAATAAATAAAAAAAACATATTAAGAAACGCAAAATACAAAAAATACAGAAGCTTGTAAATATGATAATTCTAATAAAAATACATTTGAAGACTTATTATAAAAACAAAGGAATAAAACGAGTACTTTATAGTCTTATATTAAAACTTAAAATTAGAATAATTCAATTCCAAATTAATAAAATAAAAAAAAAAATATAATCAGTTATTTGAATTTTTTAGTTAAAGCATTTTTATTATTTATTTCATTAATTATTTTGGCATTTTTTTCATATTTTACTTAGCAAAATTTCTATTTTTAATGTTTTTTTACCTACCCTTTGTTTGGAATTACACTTTTTCTAAATATTTTAGCTTTCTTTGAAGAAAATAAGTAAAAAAACATAGTATAAACTAAACAAAAATATACTATTTTTTAAAAAAAAATACTTTTTTTTTCTTGTATTTTTACCCTTTACTTACTGAGCTGCTTTTATGCATTTCTTTTAGAAAAATAAATTTTTTAAGTAAATTTTATTCAGTAATACAAACTGATTTTTACAAAAATTTTTAGATGCTTTTTTTTATTTTATGTACTTATTTTTGCATTTCTTGTCTCTTTTTTATATTTGAAAAATCAAGAAAAAAAAATTTTATAGAAAAATTTGAAAATATAAGAAATAAAAACTTAATAAATATAAAAAACATTTGCTAATTTTTAGGAAAAGCTAGAAAATATTTAAAAAGATATGAATGTAAATGTTCATAATATCTCTTAAAAAAATAAAGAAAATATTTAATAAAAAGAAAAAAAATTAGAAAAATTGAAAAATAATATTATTAGAATTTAAAATAATACTTTAGATTTTAAATAGGATTTTTATTTTTTGTATTTTAATGTATTTTTAAAAAAAATGTTATTATTGGCTATATTTTTAGCTTTGAATTCTCTTTTTTCTTTCAATTTCGGATTCTCATAATGGAAATATGCTTTTTTTTTAATAATTTAAGCATTAAATGTAGTTTTTTATTAATTTTTCATTTAAAATATATAATAAAAAATCCAAAGAAAAACATTCTTATTACTTTATTGTATTTCTTAAAATTTTATTGGATATATGGCATTTATTTTTGTATTTTTATAAGATTAAAATAATGATCTTATTTTAGTTTATTTAAGCTTTTTAAAAAATTTATGGATTTTGGCTATAATTTATAAATAAAAAAATAGAAAAAAATAAGAAAAAATTTAAAACTAGATTATAATATCATTATTTCAAGATAAAAAAATAGTAAATAAAAATATTAATTTAATAAATAAATAAGAAATTTTTGTAAATTAATAAATTTTTTTATATCTTTTTTTTGATTTTTTGGCTATTCTAGGGTCATTTTTCGGTTTTTTTTTCTCTGATTTTTAAAATTGTTAGTTTTAAAAGGTTTTTCTGATTTGGTTTTTAGCTTCTTTTTTATGGAATATTTTATTAATAGGATTTTTTTATTTATGGTAATGAAAAAAATAAAAGATTTTAGAATTTTTTGTAATTTTTATTTAGAGTATTTATAAAAGATTGGTTAGTAATATTATCCTTTAATTATTTTTAATTATTTTTTCGTAGCATTATATTCTTATATATATTTTCTTAACTGATGTTTTTTTATTTATTTCTAGTTGTATATATTTTAGCTTTAATACTTTACATATATATAATTATAATTTTAAAAACTTAAAATTTCATTATATATTTTTATTTATATTTAAAAACAAAATTTATTTATATTTATTTAATTCTTTTAAAATATCATCGCAATATATTTTTTCTGATGAACATTTGAGTCCTTATATTCTATATTTTTAATTATTATTAATAATAAGTATTGAATTCAATTATTATATTAATATTTTTTAATTAAAAATCTTTAAAAAAAAATTACTTATAAAGTTATTTTTCAAAAAACTGTATAATATTTTATTTAATAGTAAATATTTCTTATTGTTTTATTTACACTTCTTATATATGTTATTCTTTTAAAATTTCAATATTATTTTTCCATCCTTTGTTTTCTTCTAATAGATTATTTTTTAATTAGTTTTCCATTTCTTAATTAAGTTTAGTTAATCTTTTTACAGCTTTTCTTTCTCCTTTTAAAGCATCAAAGAATATTTGTTATTTAGTATCAATCATATCGAATTCATTTTAAATTAATTTTATTTTATTATTTAGCCTTTTGTTTTCATCTATTATTTGTAATTTCTGAGTGTTTTCTTATTAAATTGGTATTTGACTTAAGTTTCCTAATATTTAAACTATTCGATTCTAATAAATCTATTATATTCCTTTATTTCTTAAATATAATTTTCATATGTTAGTG